CCCCCACCTCTGCAATGTCTCCCGACTCTGACACTGTCTCTCACTGCAGGCCACCGAAACCCTCATACACGCTTTCATTACATGAAGGCTCAACTACTCAAACTCACTGCTTGTTGGCTTCCCCAACTCCTCCAGCCATAGGCTACAGATCATTCAGAGCTCGGCAGCCCGTGTCCTCTCCCGCGCTAGGCTCTGTGACACCTCCATCCTTGTCCAACTCCACTGCCTTTCCATCACACAGAGGATACAGTTCAAGATCCTGGTCCTCACATTCAAAGCCATCCACAGTCTTGCTCCCACACCTACCTCTGCTACCTCCTAAACCCCTACCATCCAATTCGCTTCCTCCACTCAGCGGGCTCCGGCCTGCTTCATATCCCCTGCCTTGCTCGCCCCACTATTGGCAGGCAGGCCTTCCGCCACTCTGCACCCACCCTCTGGGACTCCATCCCACAATCCCTCCATCTTGCCCCCTCCCTCACCACCTTCAAGACCCATCTCAAGATCCTCTTCTTCAACTGTGCTTTCTATCTCCCTGCTTCCCCCCCTGCCCTCCACCCTCCCCCACCCCGACCTCCAGCTCAGGTCCATAACTATGTCTGTCCAGCGCCTTGGGACGTCCTCACAATGTGAAAGGCGCTATACAAGTGTCATTTTGTTGTTGCTGTTATAGAATGGCTTTCTGGCAGGATAGGGTCTCGAAGCGTTGATACGAAAGTATGGGTTGGAGCTGGAGTGAATGCAGGGGACACATTCACTGAGACAATGTGCAGGGCGACTCTGTTGTAATGGACCCTGTTATAATTTTATAACATGGAAGTCCGTGACCAGGGGCAAAAGCCTCCTCCATCGCTGGGTCCTCGGTTATCCCTCTGGGTGGAGAGTGAGTGTCTCAGTGATGTGAGATGAGGTAGCGCTGTGACTTTGGGGCAGGAGGAAGGGATGGAGAGAAAGAGGATTGAAGAGCAAGACACCAGATTTAATGATTTTCCAAACAACAACGTTTTAATAAATCACGTGAGCAAAGGCCGAGTGCAGAGATGTTGGCTTGTTCAGCAGATTAGCTCAGTGACCTTTCACCATTAGGAAATGACTTCATGTCTGGCACAGACTGATGGGATGAATGCCGTCTCGCTCTCTCTGCCTCTGACTATAGTATAAGGGGCTCAGTGTGTTATAAACTCCAATAGTCTTGACCCAGTTGCTACAAGCACATCGAGAACATTGCTTGAGCTCAGTGAAGCCCAGTATCATCATGGAATCCTTGAGCTGGGAGGTCCTCAACACTGACAGTGGGTGTTGGAGACGAAGGCAAAAGACCGTCACTGATGCAGGGAAACAACAACAACAACAGATTACATTTGTATAGCGCCAAATGTAATTCCCCAAGCCGTGGCTCTCACCAACCTGGCCAAATACTCTTCGGATATAGTTAACCAGGGTGCATCTCTCCAGGGAGGAGAGAGAGGCCATTCCAATCCAGACATGGAAATGTTGAAATAAAAACAGAAGTGGCTGGGAACACTCAGCAGGTCAGGCAGCATCTATGGAGAGAGGAAAGTGAGTCAACGTTTCAGGTCAATGACCTTTCGTCAGATCTCACGAAAGAACTCTTGAGTTCTGACGAAAGGTCATCGACCTGAAACGTGAACTCACTTTCCTCTCTCCATAGATGCTGCCTGACCTGCTGAGTGTTCCCAGTCACTTCGGTTTTTATTTCCGATTTCCAGCGTCTGCAGTATTTTGCCTTTTGTTTATGGAAATGTTGATGGGAGACGGCATACATATGCAGAACTCCAGACAGTGGGAGATTTCCTTCTGTTAGGTTGAATCCACATGTGAAACTCACTGTCTGGTTTTGCGGGGTGATGGAGTTTCACATTTGTCAGACACCCGGCTGACCAAACCAAAAGTGTAATGGGAAGTCTGGATGCTCTTAATAATAATAATCCTTGCACTCGATATAGTGCCTTTCCACGTCGTTGAGACTTCTCAAAGTGTTTCACAGAAATGCGGCAGCCAATTGCGCACGGCAGTATCAAAAACAGTCATGGATTAAATAACCAAATCGTTATATATTTTTTAAGGGATTATTACCGCCGGAAAGCAATCTGCCAATCGACTAACAACAACAACAACAAGATTCCATTTATTGAGTGCCTTTCACGTCGGTAGGACGTCACAAGGCGCTGTACAGTTGGGTCAGGACCCGAGCAGGGGGGAAATGGTCAGGGTGAGGGGAGGGAAGGGAGGGAGCGAGGAGGGGGTAGAGAGTCGAGAGGGGAGCTGAAGGCACGGTCAAAGAGAAAGGTCTTGAGACCGGCCTTGAAGGAGGAAAGGGAGGAGGCAAGGTGAAGGCACTGGGGGATAGAGTTCCAGAGCCAGGTTCCTACTTACTGCTAGTTAAACAGAGGTGTTGGAGTAAGGAAACTTGCCTATGGTTTTGCCCTGCCTGGGAATCGAACCCGGGTCCTCTCGCTTGTGAGGCAGCGTGCTAACACTATACGACAGCATTCCACAAAGTCTTCTGGATGGATTGAGGGCTGGAAGTGTTTCCTTCGATCAAGCCTCTCTCGTGAGCCTGCGGTCCTGGGAAAGACTGAGTTGGAGTATGAGATGGTGGTGCTTGTAATGCACGCAGGGGGAAATGTGTATGAAGCATAATTTGGGATGAGAGAGGTTCTGTCTGCCTGAGTGTTTGGGCTGGCCAGGTGGGTGTGGGTGACATGTGTCTGTAAAAAGACATTTCTATGGAAATGATTTCTTTGGTATTTGCAGTTCCAGTAATCATTTTTTTATTTTATTGTGAGTCATTGTTTATGTTCCAACTGGTCTGGCTCTCCCTGACATCGAGCCAGTCTAGCGTCTAATCCGATTCAGGGCATCAGCATCGAACTCTGTTGAGTCTGACTGCCTGACACCCGAAGGGTTCACAGGGCTGGGATTTCCTAACCTGATTTTCTGGGATGTTACAACCCGTAGAGTATTGGTTAGAGCGCTTGCCTCGCAAGCGAGAGGACCCACGTTCTGCCTGCTTGATCGGGTGGATCCCATGGCAGTACTTAAAAAGAGAAGCGAGTTTCTCTCTCCCCGTGTCCTGGCCAACAATCTCCCAAATAAAATTGGTCACTCACTTCATGGCTGGGATGTTGCTTTGCACAACTGGCTGCCACGTTCAGCCACAAAATACACAGTCACTACACTTTACAGTAAACTTTGTGAAGCGCATTGAGGTTTCCTCCCAACTGTATCAAATGCAAGGATTATTATTATTCTAATCATTCATAATGGCAATTAGTGACTCACTGTGGCAAAATGATCTCTCTCCTAGCCGAGCAATGCTTCAGTTACATAGAATTGTGCAGCACAGAAACAGACCATTCAGACCCATGTTTGTGTGTGTTGCCGTTATTTAGATGGAAAGGCTGTTTGCTTTCAGTGTTTCTGCGAGTAGAATTGTTAGTACAATACACCCCGAGCACTGACATGCTTTTCCTGCTGTCTGTGTGAATCAGGTAGAGGTTTGGAACTTAACGTGTACGCCTGCTGATGTATGGCTTGATTGCTCCCAGCGTCTCTCTTCTCCTCTGGCTTCTGTCTATGGTGAGTGTCTGGCGCTGACTGAATGAATGGCCTTCCCGTAACATACATGCACACTGACACGTGCATGCACACTGTTAATGCTGCACTAAAAGGGGTCCCGACTCGTTGGAGCAGCCATGGCCCTATCTGCGAGATTTCTGAACAGATTTCTTAATTTTATTTTTATCCCCACCATCGGTGGTCGGGCCTTCAGCTTCTCTGCCCCCACCCTTTGGAACTCCATTCCACAATCACTTCGCCTCGCACCCCCACCCCCCCCTCCCCCACCCTCTTCGACCGGACCTTCCCACCCCTACCCAATTGGCAAAACAAGGCAGCCAGTTGCACGAAGCAGTGTCCCGCAAATAGCCATGGAGTGAACGCCCAATTATTTTTTAGTTGGGGGCCAGGACGCTGGGAGTGAGAAATTCCCTTCTATTTTCAAATAGCGCCATGGGATCTTCAACATCCACCTGAACAGGCTTCCTTCAGATGAAGGAAGCCACGTTATCGTTGAGCAGCAGCTTTGCTGGTTAGTGGCTCTCTCCGCCTTTCCCTGTGTCCTGTACCTGGTGAGGAGACACTGCACCTGCAACACTTTGCCTGTTTTTCCTGTAGCAAGATTGGGTCGTTTGTTAAAGCCCACAACTCATTATGCAATAAAATCTGCAAACGTCAGCAACTATGGGGGCAGAATGAGAACACTGAGATTTATCTCTCGCTTTGACTATGTAAATTTCTGCTGTGTGCTCTGTATTGTAGCACTGGCGATTCAATACACAATTACAGAGACTGTTTTATCTTGAGTTAGTGCGAGGTGTAATTCAATTTCCAATCTCAGTCTTAGCCTGAAAACCTGCAGTTAAGATGGTATTGGTAGAGAAAAGGACTCCAGAGAAAGTGAAATTTCCATTAGCATGTGGGACTCTCAGTAGCTCAGTTTGGGTACTCCGAATCACGGTGATGTATGTACCAGACACTCGGCTGACGAAACGAAAAATCGTGTAGCCTTTGGGAAAATTCTTTAATTTGCTCTAAAATGTTGAGGCGGCGTCTCATTGTGAGGGACTAGGAAACTACGGACATCTCCCCTCCCTCCTCTCCCTCCCTCCTGCTTCTTCACCCCTCTAACTTGCTCGGTGTCCAACCCAATCCCATTGAGGCGCTCCAAGACTCCCTATGTGAAGGGCGCTGTATAAATGCAAGGTGGTGGTGTTGTTATTGAACCAATTCTAGTGATCTTCAGGCTCCTGACCTACCTTTTTTAGTTTGCCAACAAAATAATCATAGCATTAGCAAAATAGCATAGATGTATGCCATCAACCAAGAAACATTCAATCAAGATGCATTTGTTTTGTTGGCCAACCAAAGAGGGGATACAGAGCTTTGAACACCCGGCCTCCTGCTTTGGTTTCCAGGTCACGAGATGGACAATGGCCATTTGGAGTCCGACAATCTGTCGGTGGTGAAGGACGAGGAGGAGGTGGTGTGGGAGAACGTGGAGTGCAACCGTCATGTGCTGAGCAGATACATCAACCCCGCCAAGCTGACTCCATACCTCCGGCAGTGCAAAGTCATCGATGAGCAGGATGAGGATGAAGTACTCAATTCCCACATGCTGCTGTCCAAAATCAACCGAGCAAGTAAGTGGGCACCATCACCCAAGGCACCATCTCTCCCTTGCTCTCGCTGTAAATCCTGTGAAGCGCTTTGAAAAAGGAGTACTTTTTTTCCTTTTCTTTTGTAAAATGTTATATAAAGGGTTTTCTTTCCCCTTTCGGCAGGTCGGTTGCTGGACATTCTGCACACTAAGGGCCAGAGAGGCTATGTGGTGTTTCTGGAAAGCCTGGAGTTCTACTATCCGCAACTGTACAAGCTGATCACGGGCAAGGAACCCACCAGGAGGTTCTCCACCATCGTAGGTAAAGGAACCGACATTCGTTTTACCCCTTCGGACGTTCGGCATCTCTGCTCCCCACACCATGGAACTCTATCCCTCAATCCCTCTGCCTCAGCCCCTCTTTTGCCTCCTTCAAGTCCCATCTAAAGGCTTTCTTCTTCGACCGTGCCTTCCGTACCCTCCTACCACCAACTCCACCTGCCCTCCACCTCTCCTGATCCCAACTCCCAGCTCGGATCCAAAAAACCCTGATAATCGAGGTTCTTTCCAACGTGAAGGGTGTTATATAAGTGTGATTCACTACGCCCAGTAAGCGCGGGAATACTGGAGGAGAAGGGAGCGGTGTTCCGAGTTAGGAGACACTTGGCTTATAAAATATGACCAGCCCAAAGAAAATCTAAGTGGTTTTGATAGGAACCCAAATGAGACTCGGGTGCAGGGACGACTTAGGTGGTTGTACGATTTATAAAGCTGAGGCTTGTGAGAGTTTTACTGTCTCTGTATATATAAAATCATCCTTTTTCTGATGAATTGTGTTGGCGACACTAAGTTGCTGAGCTGGACAGTGCTGGTGAGAAGCCCTGGCTTTGGTTTTGTTCACACACTGAACCACTCACTGGAGCCACATCGCACCGTCAGCCTCGACCACAGCTCCAAGCAACAAACAAAAAAAAGCTGAGACACCAGATCGATGGAAACAGAAGAGACAAATGATGATCATTAATTTCCGCTGTTTGATTCCAAAACGTCCCTCTCTCATAGCCATTTGATGGGACTCGACGATGGGGGAAAGTGCTGAGTTCAGCAGCTATGCTCCTGCTTATCCCTGCGTTGTTCCGCTTATGTCAGCAACACAGACACAGGAGCTCTCCATGAGACTCTGAGCGGCAGTAAGTGAGTCTCGGAAGGAGTGATTAATCCAGGTTTGCTCCAGATGTAGCCAAGTCAGTCAGGGGCCTAATGGAACTGTCTCATTTTTTAACTACATTTTTTTTCATTAATAATATAATAATAATCCTCGCATTTGATATAATGCCTCAACAAGTCTTCGAGAATTCTTTGAGACGTCTCGAAACGATTCACAGAATCTACCGTAAAGTGAATTGACCGTGTATTTTCTAGGCGAAATGCGGCAGCCAATTGCGCACGGCAGTGTCCCATAGGCAGTCGTGGATCGAGTGACCACACATTTTTTCTTCTTTTTGGAGGGATTAATGCAAAAAAAAGAGAGACCGAGATTGTAAGGAATTATTGACTAATTCGAAGCAGTCGGAAGTTCAGCTCACAATCAGACAGGGAAGGATTTTAGTCGACCTGAGCACATTTCAAAGAGCTTCATGAGTAATTCACTGTCAGGTTTGGTAACAAGTGGGCAAGCATGGCAAGCATTTATACCAAAAGTGTTCGAGCATGCCTTCGGTCACCTGCCTACCCCTGCCCTCCCTAATCTCCCTGCCCTCCATGCACTCCCTACCTCCTTTCCTTGCTCCCTCCTCCCTTCCTTGCTTCCTGTTGTCCATCCGTCCGTCCCTCCCTTCTTCCCTCCCCATCCTCCCCCCTCTCTGGTATTCCTGTGGGAAGCTGGTTGAGTTGTGTGTGGGGTGGTTTGGACTGCCCTGTGTGTATATGTGAGTGTGTAGGAGCAGGCTAGATGGGCTGGATGATCCGTCTCCTGCCCATGCCTGCCCTGAACACGACCGGCCTCTCCTGCGTTGCAGTGGAGGAAGGGCACGAGGGGCTGACGCAGTTCCTGATGAACGAGGTGATCAAGCTGCAGCAGCAAGCCAAGGCCAAGGAAGCCCAGCGCTGCGACATGCACATCCGCAACAAGCAGCTGGAGGATGAGAAGAAGCAGCTGAAGCTGAAGAACATGGAGATGCACACCTTCCAGGAGCGCTACAACAAGATGAAGGAGGAGAGGAACAACTACAACGACGAGCTCATGAAGGTCAAGGACGAGAACTATAACTTGGCCATGAGGTACGCCCAGTTGAGCGAGGAGAAGAACATGGCCGTCATGAGGAGCCGCGACCTACAGCTTCAGGTGAGAAAGCGCCCGACTTTGGGGGGGATTGCGAAGAAATTGATAGTAATAATTATAATAATTCTTGCATTTGATACAGCTCCTTATCACGTCTTCGAAACATCTCAAAGCGCTTCGCGGGATATACCGTAACGTGAGCTGGCTGTGTATTTTGTGGGCGAAGCACGGCAGCCAATTGAGTGACCAAGTTATTATTATTATTTTTTGAAGAGATTATCACTGAGTATACTGTAAAGTATGTATTTTGTGGGCAAAACACATTACTACGACTTATGTTTTCATGCGCCTAGTGTAAGAATTATTATAAAAGAATTAAGAATCATTATAATAGGAACATAGAAACATAGGAACAGGAGGAGGCCATTCAGCCCCTCGAGCCGGTTCCACCATTCTATTAGATCATGACTGATCTGTACTTCAATTCCATTTCCCCATCTTAGCCCCATATCCTTGATAGCCTTACCTTTTAGGCAATTTTGCTTTAGCTGATTACCCAGAGCTTTGCGAAAAGACATTCCAAATTTGTAGCTTTCGAAAGGCAGATTGGTGGCTAATTTGCGGTATTCCTCAATAAGAAATAACCGAGATACGTGCAAATGGGGAAGTTCCTTTCAGTAGTTGGATGTTCATCACGTCCGTTTTAACACAATCAAATTACACCATTGCTACCCTTCACAGTTAAGCGCTTTGAGATGGCCTCCCGAGTTGAAAGGTGCTGTGTGTGTGTGTGTGTGTGTGTGAATGTGAACAAGACTAAGGCCCTCTGATTGGCTCACGACAGCGCCTCAGGTTCTGGCAACATCAACCTCCATGGTCGCACGCTACAACTCACCAGCCAGTCAGGAACCTCGGTGTCTTGTTCGACCCTCAACTGTCTTTTCTTCCCCACATCCAAGCCATGACCCGCTCTGCCTTCCCTAACCTCCGTAACATCGCCCGACTCTGCCACTACCTCACCCCTCAGGCTCTTGTTCATGCCTTCATCACCTCCAGGCTCGACTATGCAAACGCCCCTCTTGTCGGCCTTCCCAACTCCTCCCACCACAGGCTACAGATAATCCAGAACTCTGCAGCCCATGTCCTCTCCCGCACCAAACTCCATGACCCCATCTACCCCACTCTCGCCCGACTCCATTGGCTTCCTATCCTTCAGAGGATCCAGTTCAAGATCCTGGTCCTCACATACAAAGCCCTCCATGGCCTCGCCCTACCCTCCCTCTGCAACCTCTTAACCTCCTACCAACCCGCCCGCTCCCTCCGCTCAGCAGGCTCTGGCCTGCTCCACGCCCCTCGACCCACCCGCCCCACCATTGGCAGGAGAGCCTTCAGCCACTCTGCCCCCAACCTCTGGAACTCCATCCCCCAGTCACTCCGCCTCGGCCCCTCCTTAACCTCTTTCAAGTCCCACCTCTTCGATCATGCCATCGGTCACCCTCCTTCCCCTCCCCTCCCTTAACCCCCCAACCCCAGCTCAGGTCTGAAATGCTGTACACTGTCCAGCGCCTTGGGACATCCTCCCGAGGTGAAAGACGTTGTACAAATGTAATCTTGTTGTTGGTGGTGGTGTGTGCTGTGCGCAATTGGCTGCCGCGTTCGCCCACAAATATACAGTCAATTCACTTTACAGTGTGTTCTGTGAAGCGCTTTGGGACATCCTCCCGACGTGAAAAGCGCTATATCAAATGCAAGGATTATTATTATTATTATTGTCTCTCTCTCTCTATACAGAGATTCCTTAGCTATAGATGTTTAATGGAATGTTTGATATTCATTATCACTATGAGTTTGCCCACTCCCCTGCCCGGCGTGACCAGAAGTGAGCATAGTGCAGTGATTTGCTAATGATTCACCTTTGCTCTCTGTAGGTTGACCAGCTGAGGCACAAACTGAACAAGGTAGAGGAGGAGTGCAAACTGGAGCGAAACCAGTCGCTCAAGCTGAAGAATGACATGGAGCAGAGGCCGAGGAAGGAGCAGGTGCTGGAGTTAGAGCGAGAGAACGAGACGCTGAAGACCAAGGTCCAAGAGCTCCAGTCAGTTATTCAGGTAATCACAGCACATCCAGCACAGCACTGTCAAACACAACAAGTTGCATTTTATACAGCGTCATCTGCTTGAACGTGACATCTCGGCAAACTGGACAGAGACAGCGCCGGTCGCTGAGGTAGGGCAGGGCAGAGGCAATAACAGGCTCGGTCAAAGGGGTATGTTTTCGGGAAGATTTTAAAGAAGAACGAAAAAAACCAAGTGGAGGGTGAATTTTATTGGCATCCAATTTGCACGTGGCAATGTCCCACAAACAGCCAGGAAGTGAGATAACCGATTTTATCAGAGGGAATTGTTGGCCGGGACAGGACACCGGGAGAAACTCCCTTCTCTTTCCGAGTAGTGCCACAGGTCCTTAAAGTCCGAGCAGAGATGGAGCACGGCACCTCCCCACACTCCCCCACTCCCCCCAGCATTGTTTTGGCACGTCAGCCCAGACTGTGAGTTCAGAATCTCCGTCGTGGAGCTTCAACCCGCAACCTTCTGACTAAAGTGAGAGTGTCGGTCAGCCAACCGAGCCGGCCTGGTACAATCACGCTGAGTCAGCCTGGGCATAGTTATCCTCCCTTTAATCAGCTGTGTGACTGCTTGGCTGGAGCGGCGTGCAGAGGCAGATGCAGATTATTACTGCATTAAACGCCTGTTACCGAATGCTGCAGAAAAACCTGAAGTCCTGCCAGGAAATCTGAAACGGCAATCTCTAACAGGATGTTTTATGGGTATTTAACTGCTCACCATAGATTGAAATTAATTCATGTCAGATTCTCAGCCCGTGTCTGATCATGTTCAGAGGCGACGATGCTTTAATTGCACGTCGAGGCAGGAATCAGAGAACAGTTGGGGGAAAACGATTGATTTTTTCATTAAAGTCAGTGCAGCAAATTCACTATTTGGTCTTAAAATGCCTGTTGTGTTACTGCTGATGCACATTAGTTATGAGGTAACTGGGAATGATCCCCAACATAACAATGGATGTTCTGGGAGTGAGTTACTCAAGGAATAATGTTTACCCAGGAGTTTAGTTATAGAGTAGCAAAAACAACAACAAATTGTATTTATATAGTGCTTTTCACGGTGGCAGTGATCTTGGAGCGCTTCAAAACTGGGAGTAAGAGGTCAACCCACGACTCTGCTGTGTGGGACGCCGCTGTGCGCAATTACAGTATGTTCTGTGAAGCGCATTGAGACGTCTTGAAGATTATTATTATTATTGTTATTAAGAGAGACCTGGGAGTGAGTTACAGAGAGTTATTATAAACAGAATTAAATCATAAATCACAAGAGCAAAGCTTGAGAAATTTGCAAATGTTACTGACACGAGGTTACAACCTTGAAATCATCTCCAGAGGATGGCTTTTTGCCTTACGCACTGAGCGAAGCCCAGCGTAGAAAAGCAAATAGAAAGAAAACAGCGGTTATTTCAAGCTATTGCGCTAGATTGTTCCTGAAGGCCCCATTAACGTGTCATGTTATGCTTGGCCAATTATGATCACCTCACAGACAGTAATGAGCACAGTAACTGAGCAAAGGGCCATTAATACACATTATTGCCTTTGTGCAACAATTATTAATTTCACCCGTGTCGTGTCATCACAGCTGCTGCCAACTATCTGCCATCAGCCAGACAATGGCAACATCGCGGTGATGGAGAGGAGTTGTTATTAATGGGATTGCTCGGTATATTTACGGTTCTATTACGGGGAAAGGTCAAAGCGAAATCAAAGCGGGCAAAAGATTTTCTCTTTATAAAATGGACTCGGAACGATTTGTTATTAATGTGTCAGCTGAGAGCGGCAGAGATATTATCTCTTTGGGTGTGAGCGTGCGAATGTTCTCACAGGCGGAATGGTGTTATGGGCTTTGCTTTGTGTCATCCAATTTTCGGACACGGGGGAAATCGTCACGTTTTAGTGGTGTACACACGTGGAACTCTCTGGTTTGGATCATCTCGGGCGCACGGTGGATTTCTGTGTTTGTTCTCTGGCAATCATGTATTGTGTAGTAATACTACTACTAATAATAATCCTTGCATTTGATAGAGCGCATATTAATATGCATATTAATATATAGTAATATTAATATATATCATTATATTATATTATTATATATTATATTTTAAATGTATTATATATTAATCATATAATATAATATTATTATATAATATATACCATATATGTGATATATATTTATACATATATTAATATAATATATATTTTATATAATATACATATAATATATATTAATCCTTGCATTTGATATAGTGCCTGATCACGTTGTTGAGACGTCTAAAAACCTTTCACAGAATATATTTTAAAGTGGATTGATTATATTTTGTGGGCGAACGACGAGAGTCAATTGCGCACAGCAGCGTCCCACAAACAATCAAACTGGGTTCTCTCGCTTGCGAGGCGAGTGCTCTGACCACTACGCTGCAGAACTTTTCTGCTCGCGAGTTAGACTCGTTCCCCATTTGGTCGTCCCCGCTCCGAATTTGGAACGAGAACTGCTTTTAAAAACTCCGTCTCCTCTTCCACGCAGGCCGGGAAGCGCAGTCTGCCCGACTCGGAGAAGGCCATCCTGGACATCCTGGAGCACGACCGTCAAGAAGCCCTGGAAGACAGGCAAGAGCTCGTCAGCAAGATCTTCAACCTGCAGGAGGAGAACCGTCAGGCAGAGGAGCTTCGAGATAAGGTGAGAGGGTCCAACAAGGGGGTCTGCGTTTCATTTACCCGCAGTCTGCTCTTGGTCTGCCTTTGATTTACCCGGGTTTTTTTGTTCACCTGGACCGAGTTTGATTCGCACAAGGTCGGCACGTGAATCTGAGTTTGGCTTCCACACGGTTTGCGAGTCGTTTACGCTAAATTGATATAATGGGCCGCGCTTTCGTGGGTTGACTCAACAACGATAACAACAAGAACAAGAACAACAACAACAACAGATTACATTTACACAGTTCCTTTCATGTCAGAAGGACGTCCCAAGGCGCTGGACAGTCAGGGGTTTTGACCCGAGTGGGAGCAGGGGAGTGGATCCAGGAGGGTGGAGGGAGGGTAGGGGTAGAAGGTTGATCGAAGATGCGGTCGAAGAGGAGGGTCTTGAGACGGGCCTTGAAGGTGTGGTCGAAGAGGAGGGTCATTGAATAAAAGCGATGTATTCATTGTTTCTGCAGCGATGAACGCTATATTTATATGTGCCGGAGGACGGGAGAGGACGGGGTGAGGGGGAGGTGGGGGGAGAGTGAAGGATTAATGTTGAATGGCCATTGGTGCGGTGGGAGCCGGGCTGTGATGTGTGTGGACTGTTGTTGCAGTACCTGGAGGAGAAGGAAGATCTGGAGCTGAAATACTCGACGCTGGTGAAAGACTGCGAAATGTACAAGCACCGGATGAGCACCATCATGTTTCAGCTGGAAGAAGTGGAGAAAGAACGTGATCAGGTCAGAGTCAATGCCACTGTTTGTAGCGTTAAAACGACGTGCGATGAAACGTTCCTCATTAACCGATGCTGCTCGATCCTCTCCTCTGTCAAAAAGTTTATGGAGTGAGCCCTGGTAGCTCCCCATGTGAATACAATAGTATAGTATCAATACTATTCACAACCTACGACAACTTGCACTTATATAGTGCCCTTCAGGTGGGGTAGCGTCCCGGAGAGCTTCATGGTGGCAGAGTCTGACAACGAGCCGGGGGGAGAGGGAAGGGGGGAGGTGACCTTAAGCGCGATCTTCAGGCGGTGTTTGAAAGTGGGATGTGAGGGGGCAAGGCGGAGGGATTAAGGGAGAGAGTTCCAGAGTTTCGGGGTTTACGCTAAATTCAGCGGCTAAAATATACGCAAATGTATATTGTTTTGTACATTTTTATACAGTGGCTTTCGCCTCAAGAGGACTTCTCAAAAACGTTTTGCACAGCTGGCTGGGCATTTGAGTCGAGGGTGGGGGTGTGAGGGCAAGGGGGAGAGTTGACCAAAAACGAGATCAAGGAGACAGGTCTTCAGGTGGACTTTAAAATAGAGGAGGGACGGGGAAAGCCAGAGGGACTCTGGGATGGAGGTCCAGAAAGGGGAGCAGAAAGCCTGAAAGCTCGCCCGCCCGCTAATGGTGGGGCAGATCAAGCCGGGAAAATTAAGCTGTAGAGTTGAGGCATGAAACAGAGTAAGGATAGTATGGCTCGGAAGAACCAGGCAATTAACTGTGGATCTAAGGTTCCCAAAGCTTTCCACCTCTGTTGTAGACTAATCCATACAGAACTAATTCCTATCAACATCTCCATTAGTGTAGCATTCAACTACCAGGATGGTACAATACAATACAAAATTACATTTGTATAGCGGCTTTCACGTCAGGAGGTAGAAGGCGAACTGGATGGAATTTGGTCTTTTTTCGTCCAGCGTTTTCTATGTTGCTGGAGAGCGGAGGGAGAGGGCCTGTCAATAGGGCTACAGGCTGGGAGCCAGGTTTTGGAGGGATTTGATTGTAAGAACGAGGATCTTGAATTTGATCCACATGGGGAGCATTTGCATTTGATAAAATGCCTTTGACGTCCCAAAGCGCTTCAGAAGATTTTACTGCTAAAGTGTAGTGACTGTGTGGTTTGTAGGATCGCACTTTCAAAGAGTTGGCTCAGTAACGATGGGCCGAATGGCCTCCTTCTGTGTTGTAGGTTTAAACAGTTCCATAGAAAGGGAGAGGGGTATCTATCTATCTATCTATCTATCTATCTATCTATCTATCTATCTATCTATCTATCTATCTATCTATCTATCTATCTATCTATCTATCTATCTATCTATCTATCTATCTATCTATCTATCTATCCATCTATCTATCTATCCATCTATCCATCTATCCATCTATCCATCTATCCATCTATCCATCCATCCATCCATCCATCCATCCATCCATCCATCCATCCATCCATCCATCCATCCATCCATCCATCCATCCATCCATCCATCCATCCATCCATCCATCCAGGCCTCCCGTAGCTGATGTCTGATTACTGATGGATCAGATTTACTGTTGGAGGATCACAGCATTTCTCATTATCACTGTATCTGAGAGTGGTTTAGGAGTCCTGTAGCTCAGTGGTTAAAGCACTCGCCTCGCAAGCGAGAGAACCTGGGTTCGATTCCCAGGCAGGGCGAAACGTTGGGTAAGTTTGCTTAATCCGCACGCCTCTGTTTACGTAGCAGTAAATAGGAACCCGGTTGTTAGTCGATTGGCGGATCGCTTTTCCGTGGGTAATAATTGCTTCAAAATAAATTTAAAAAAAAAATAATTTGGTCACTCAATCCACGACTGTTTGTGGGGACGCTGCTTTGCATAATTGGCTGCTGCGTTTTGCCCACAAAATATACAGTCAATGCCCGCTGAACGTGGCACCTTGGCACGTCCCCGGCTCAGTTGGCACATCCCCTGCCTTCTCTTGCACTTCCAGGCGTTCCGGTCTCGTGATGAAGCCCAGACGCAGTATTCCCAGTGCCTGATTGACAAAGACAAGTACCGCAAACAGATCCGGGAACTGGAGGAGAAGAACGACGAGCTGCAGATCCAGATCGTCAGGAAGGAGGGGAAGATCGTGGCTTTAGAATCCAAACTCCGTCGCCTTTCAAAGGACACCATCTCAGCCGACCAGGTCAGAGGATACTTTAATCTCTTCCCTTCCCCTTTATTTGCATTAAACTGCTCCCAGGGTCAATATTTCTGAACCACAGGTGTCTGATATCTGGTCTGGTCTGATCCCAGGATCAAGTTGTGTCTGTGTGCATGTGTAGGGGAGAGGGGGGTGGAGAGCAGTGATGTGATTAGACTCAATGTCTCTCTGTGCGAGAGGAGAGGAAAGGAAACCTCCTAGCATCTCAGTAGCCTCACTGGAAAGTGTGTGAGGGTGGGGGACACCAAGTGTGTATAATTTTGTGTGTGTTCTGCACCATGCCACCACTGAACTCTCTGCTTCTTAACAAGCTTTTTCCAGCACAGTGCCCGTTGTTAAATATTGCCCGAGGTGCACTTGTTTGACATCCGCTTTGATCCCAGACAGGATGCCAAGGAGTTGAGTTGATATTCACTGAACTCAGAATGGCTGACTTAATCTTGCCTAGCTATTTTGGAATAACACCATCAACCTCCCCCTCCCCACTCTTCAACCCCAACCCCCCCCCCCGCTACCACTCCCCCAACCCCCAACTCCAAGATCATCGTTCAAATACGACAGCAATATTCTATGTTTGCAACAATTGGGCAGAAAACCAATTCAGTTTGTAAAACCCAAATTCACCTTCTGCATATGTGATGGAGAATGGAGCAATATCCTGTTACTATGGGACTATGGCCCTGTTTGTAGCAAAACCAATGAGTCGAGTTGTCCATTATTTAGCTGCTGAGAGTGCAGTAAAGTGTGACTGATAGATTGGGAAGACATTTAATCACAGTGTGTGAACGCACTGATTTCTCAAGCAGACTTTTCCTCGATCACCCAGAGCTAGTGTTGTATTAAAGTTTTGTTTCAGGGTTGAGAAATTCACAATGACTCAACTTCATGTGTGGCTGCCATCAAACAACGAGGCAGAAAATTCCCATTTCTGTCTCAGATTCCAAACTCTGGGCTTGTTGAGGCTTCCCCCTGTCCTGCTAGCTTGTTCCTTGGGAGAGACTAAACCAAGATTAAGTCAGCCCCTTCTGATGAGTTCTACTGAAGGTTAATGAATCCCCATTCCTCCATCACCATCAACAGTTGCTCTCTTCCCCCCGGTACCTTCCCATGCCAGCGCAGGAGATGCAATACCTGCCCTTTCACCTCCCTCCATACCACTGTCCAGGGAGGGCTCCAAACAGTTTTCCAGTGAGACAGTGATTTATGTGTATTACCACCAATGTAGTTTACTGCGTTCACTGCTCACATTGTGGTATCCTGTACATTGGGGAGACCAAACGCAGATTGGGTGACTGATTTGCTGAACACCTCCGTGCTGTCCGCAAGCACAACCCTGAGCTTCCGGTTTCTTGCCATTTCAACTCTCCCTCCCACTCTGACCTCTCCATCCACGGTCTCCTACGCTGTTCCAATGCCTCTCAGGGAACTCTTCACATTTCCTGGCCAATATTCACACAACTGCATCAAACACAAATCACAGACAAATTGGCCATTGATCTCACTGTGGGCATCACTGATGCAGATTAGATTATGGTTTGTCTCTGTAGGAGTGATTGGACAAGATAGTAATTCCCTGAGTAAACGAACTAGAGACATGATAAGGCATTGTATCAGACGGAATTATGTATTTATTAATTAATTAAAGATAGATTCCGCACATTGCATTCTTGCATAAACGTCTTCTGTTTTCTGCTGAATTGTTGTCCCTTCTCTCCCTCTCTCTCCCCACTCCTCTCACCACCCCACCGCCCTCCTCTCTCCCTCACCTCCACTTACTTATGCGCATCTCATAAATGGCTTCAATTAGAATTGCTCTTCAGTGGTTACTTACTACAGTAAGCCCTCCGATTACTTGGGCAGCTGCAACTTAAAAATAATACAGTATGTCGTTAATTCAATTGAGGATTTTTTATAATTAAAAATAATAGTCCCTGAAAACACAATGTGAAACTAAAAGTGGTAGATTGTCTATTTCACGGTGACGTTTTCTAGGAAATTGTTGGAACAGAAAGGTTCCTGTGTTGTACTTTCACTTCTGGGACCTGTTTTGGTCAGCTAGGTGTCTGACACACGTGGAAACCCATCGCCGTGCTTTAGAGCTTCAAAATGAAACTGACAGTTTCACATGTACATTCAAGTCACATGCGGAAATCTCTCTGTTTCTGGAATGGAACGTGTCTGCACTCTCTCTGTCTGTCTCCCTGCAGGGACGCAGAATACTCATCTTATTCTAGAGATTAGTAAGCGCAGGGTTGGCGGGTGCCAAGGCTTGGGGTCCTTAGAGTGTGAGTCGGGGTAACTGCTGGAGTTCAACCAGCTCAAACTGATTCACCCAAGCCCCTAATTCGGCCCAAGCTCGCATAGATGAACAACAAGGAAAAGTTTGGGTTGGGGTGGGGTGGGGGGGCGAAGCTGTCCTGATGCTTAGGTTAGATGCAGAGGAAAACTCCCCCTATATTGCCCCACCAACACATTGGGGGTAATGGGGTAGTGACAGGGAAACTGTATAACAACAATTTGCATTCACATAGAGCCTTTCAAACAGGATAATGTCTCAAATGCTTTACAGGAGTGGTGTCCGAAACTGAGTTGGGGGGGGCGGTGGGCAGGGGGAGTGGGGTGGACTGCAGGCACGATTGAAGAGCTGAGTTTTCAGGAAGCTTTAAAGACTGGGGGTGGGTGAGCCGAAGGATTGAGAGGAGTTCAAGAAGGGACGAGCAAAGTAGCTGAAGGCTTGGCCGCTGATGATGGAATGGGGGTTGAGGGACACGCTGTAGGCCTGAGTTTGCTGAGTGGAGGTGCAGTAGGGTGGGGAGGGGCGGGTGGTGCCTGGTGAGGGGGAAGACGCGAGCTGCAGAACGAGACTTGAGGAGGTCATAGAGACAGGGAGCAGAGCGAGTGCGTGGAGGGATTTATTGGTGTAGAGCTGTCTGATCTGGGAACAATTGATACTGACACTGACACCAGGTCAGCTCAAAGATCAGGAAAACAGTGACATCCTTCAACTGGATGAACACCAAGAAAATATCCCAGGAGGAGTGGGGGAATAAGGATTTCCTGGTAAAGAAGTATTTAAAATTCATGAAAGCACATCAATTCCACTCCTCCCCGCATAGATTCTGAACATTCATGGATTGTGTCTCCCAAAAATACATGAAAGTGACTTTGTTTCCTTAGCTATGTTATTCATGGGATTTTATGGGCAGCGTGCAAAATCTGCAAGTTGGGTTATCCACGGGCAAACATACCTATGGGTATACACGAAATTATACATGCCCTTGATTATGTGTTTATCGACCGATGGAGGGCATCACGTGTGTTGCTGATGTGATTCTGTGTAATAAGCACTAATGTGTGCGTTTGCACATGGTTAACCCAACGCGCAAATTTGAAGCACGGGCTGTTATTCCAACCCAATCCCCCCACCACCCCCGAGTATATATGAGGTACAGTGTTTTGTCTAAGCAATTCTTATTTTTAGCAAATAATATCTCTGGATACAGTATATAGTTTGGGACATGACATGTGCATGTGATTGCCAGCATGGCGGAAGGCAAACTAGATGGACTTTGGCCTTCCCTCTTTCGTCTAGCAATTCTGATGGATCTTATGATCTTTTATCTGTAATGTAACTATTATCCGTCTCGTCCTCTTTTGCAGAGTCTGCCGCGCAATATTCCTGCCACCGTGATCTCTCAGGCTTTCTGCCACTCCTGTCACAAGTCTAACGGTCAAGAAGTGGAAAGCTCATCCACCTCTGAGGAATCTCCTGAGGACAACGAATTTTTCGTGCAGGACCATCGGCTGAAGAGGAGGCCGAACCTTAAGGTTTATGGAATTGTACGTCATTCTTCATCTGTCGAATAACAAGGGAATATTTTTTCAGGCGAGGTGGATGGTGGGTGGGGAGAAAGTTGGCCCAATGTTGTGGTGTCAGCCTGGCTCAATCGGTAGCATTCTTGCCTCTGAGTCAGAGATTTGTGGGTACTTTGAACACATCCGGTCCAGGCTGATACTCCAGTACAGTGTGGGAGGGGGAGTACTACATTATCAGAGGTGTCGTCCCTCAAGTGAGATGTTAAATCAAGATCCCGTCGATCATATCTAAGTGATGAGCAACGATTACACAAGCTAGGACTCTTCAGTCTTAAGAGAGGACATCTCAAAGGGGAGCTTTTAGAGGTGTATACAATTTTAAATTGGTTTGGAAAAGCAACCTCAGAACAATACTTCTGGGTACAAGACAGTAGAATAAGAGGACACAGGTCTGGAGTTGCAAAGGGGCAATTTTAGGATAGAAACCAGGAAGTATTTCGTTACCCAAAGAGTAATTAACGGCAGGAACAGGGTTGGCAGGAAGAGCAATTGAAGACAGCACACTGGGACTCATTGCTGTTGTTGCGTTAACACCAATGCTGCAGTGTTTGACACTTTTTTTCCTTTTGTGCATCAATTCAGGGAAGACCCAAATCTCCATGCACTCTCCTCAGACAGCAAGAGGGTCAAGGTAAGAGAAACGAGAAAATAAATTGGCAATTTACAAAGTCCCTTTCTAGCCATCGGGCGAAAGGTCAGTTGTTTTGAACCTATTAGTGGAGACTTTAAGCCTGTAGATGAGATGGCGCCACTAATTGTGTGTATGGCTGCATCAACAGGCATTGAGGAAAGCTTGCCCTCTCTGTCACAGAGCATTGTTGAGTAGAGTTAAATGCTTTTTGTGCCAGATTAAAAACAAATGAAACACTATAGGCTCACCCTCCCCCCCCTCTCCTCCCTGTCTGCCGTCCAAAAGTCTGAATTTTCTTTTCTTTCCTCTGACACATCATTAAAAATCAGTTTGTATATAAAAAAAACTATTTTTAGATAACCATTACCAGATACATTGCATTGCAATGTGGGATTAAATACCATTCTCTCTTAAATCATATTAATTTGCAAAGCCACTCATTGGGACTTGGATCTAAACTAGTCTAAGATGACACTGCAGTGCAGTACGGGGGTGGGGAGGGCTGCATTGTTGGAGGTGCGGTCCTTCGGATGAAATGTTAACACTACTTTGCGGAATTGGCTGCCACGTTTCGCCCACAAATTACACGGTCAATGAACTTTGCACTATATTCTGTGAAGCGCTCTGAGACGTCTGAACAACATGATAAGGCGCTATATCAAATGCAAGGATAATTATTACTATTATTAAACCCAGGCCCCATCTGTCTGTGTCAGATGAATGTTTAAGATTGATTCATAAACCCAAAGGTCAATTCCAATATTTCCATCAAACATTTTCTAACCGGACCATTCATTCTTTTATCCGCTTTATAAATTATGAGTTTTTTTAAAAAGAATCCAAACTGGGTAAACTGACAGGCCTTTGAGAATGACATCTCAAATCTCACTTATCCAGACTGTTAGTTTTAATAATGTAAGCGCCCTTAAATTATTTCAAAGGTTCTCAAAAAACACTGTGAAATAATGGGCTGCGCCAGAAATAAATGTCCCATCATTGTTCTCCATTATATTCCTGCTTGTTCAACCTCCGGTGATTCATTCTGTGTTTGAGAGCCTGTCCAATGAAATGTGGGTGTAATTACTTTCTCCTAGTGAACTATTTACTTTAGAATTATAATTTCCAGAGGTTGAGATGTCCATGTTTTTTGACGCGCTATTGCTGGGTGACTGAATGACTCTGACCTGAAGGTCTCGCTGGAGAAGCGAATGAAAGCAGACACCACACTTGCCTTCCTTCACCTATTCATCTGTTTGTTGTAAAGGGCGAGGAGGGTTTGCTTTGCTTTTTCTAATGAAAATTGCCGCTGTTATGTTTTCCGTTTCACGTCTCTATTTGTCGCTGAGAGACGAGCACGATTTGGTAGGCAGTGAATTGCCCCCTTGTGTTCCCTGCTCCTGATCTGCTCTCTGACACAGTGGCATACAAGAAGGTCTCCTTGTTCTGCTCTGGTTAATATTTGTACACAAGCCATTGGTCACTCAATTCATGGCTCCCTGTGGGATTTCGCTGAGCCCAATTGACTGCTACGTTCACCCACAAAACACAACCGCTGCATTTTACGGTAAATCCCGCGATGCGCTTTGAGACGTCCTCCCGACGTGAAAGGCACTACACCAAATGCAAGGATTGTAACAATAAAATAATAAACCTCGTATTTGATATAACGCCTTATCGTGTCGTTGAGATGTCTCAAAGTGCGTCACAGGATATACTGTAAAGTGAATTGACTGTATAATATTATTATTAATCATAATAATTTTCCCACACACCCTTTCCCATTACACTCAATCTCTTCAGATGAAGACTTGTCAGATGTCAGTAGCACCAAGATAGAAACTCCCAATTCTATCCCTGGGTGTGATCCACTGGTTAAAATGGTGAGTAACTTTGACAGCTATTTATAGAGAGTGATAAGAAATCCTTGTGGCCCTGTTTCTGGGAGCTAGTTGGGTGCAAGGAAGTGGCAGGGAATGGGATTAAATGGAGAATTGTTTCAGTGAGCCACTGCAGACACAATAGGTCATACAAACACCCACCATACTGTAAAACACCCTGTTCTATTGCTTCTTCCCGAGTAGGATTTCTAGTGAGATCCCTTGACATACGAATCAAGGGAAAGATAGAAAATCAGGAGCGCCAGTTTATTCGATGTCGGCAGATCTACCATTCCCAAAGCCCCCTCCTGCTGCCGTAACACCTTAATACCCTTCTCACCCAAATCTATGTCCATCTTTTTTGCCACCTCCCTTGGCTCCTTCAAGACCCATCTCAAGGCCCTCCTCTTCCCCTCTCGACTCTCTACCCCCTCCTCGCTCCCTCCCTTCCCTCTCCTCACCCTGACCATTTCCCCCCTGCTCGGGTCCTGACCCAACTGTACAGCGCCTTGGGATGTCCTCCCGACGTGAAAGGCGCTCTATAAATGGAATCTTGTTGTTGTTATTGTTGTGCTTTCGGTCACCCTCCTGCGCCTACCTTCCCCACCCTCCATCCCTCCTGATCCCAACCACCAGCTCGGGTGTAGATCCCTGACTGTCCAGAGCCTTGGGACGTCCTCCTGACGTGAAAGGTGCTGTACAAATGTCATTTGTTGTTGTTATTGGTTTGAACACGGATAGACATTCACCATTAAGAAATACGGCAAATTAGACCCACCCTCGTGTGTGCTGTACAGAGGGAGGGAAATGGTTAATAATAGTGAGACGGAAGGAAGCAGTCTGCACATCAAAAGGGACTTTGCAACCTTACAAAAATAAATCCTTTTTCTCTGCAGGGATCGCATGAAATGCAAGCTTTGTGCCTTGTGGTGCTCAAGGGTTAATGGAAAGCTATCAGCCTCGCAGTCTAATGCCTGGCTTGGTTGATGAAAGCCTGCACAGACTAATGTACCATGTAGGCAGTTCAGGGTCTTTCATTGTTTACCTATTAGTTTTCTGTCCTCATTAATGTAAAACATAGCCTGAACATTCAAGATAAAAGGGAAAGCTAACACTTCCTTTGCCGTATTGTTCCTCGCTTACATTCACACAATCCCACTTCCCCTTTTCTTACTACCTCAAAGATCTTCTTTCACATTCCCCTTTCAGGCCAGGAGGTTGGAGAGATCAACATCTCCGACACGTTGCCGGGCTCTCTGATGTAGTGGTCGCAGCCCGGCTCAGTCGATAACACTCACTACTCTGAGTCACATTATAGAAGGGATGTAGAGGCACTGGAGAGGGGGCAAAGGAGATTCACAAGGATGATCCCAGAACTGAGAGGCTTTACCTATCAGGAAAGGCTGAACATGCTTGGACTCTTCTCTTGAAAAGAGGAGGGTAAGGGGTGACCTGATAGAGGTCTTTAAAATGATGAAAGGTGTGATAGGGTAGACATAGGGAAGATGTTTTCAGTGGTGGGGGAGACCAAAACCAGGGGCCATCAATATAAAATAGTCACGAATAGATCAAATAGGGAACTTAGAAGAAATGTCTTCACACAGATAGTGGGAATGTGGAACATGCTTCCACAAGGTGTTGTTGAGGTAAATAGCATAGATGTATTTAAGGGGAAGCTGGATAGGTACATGCGGGGTAAAGGAATAGAAGGTTATGCTTGAAGGCTTAGTTGAGGAGGAGGCTCAGGTGGAGCATAAACACCATCATAGGCCAGCTGGGCCGAATGGCCTGTTTCTGTGCTGTATATTGTAATGTATTAGAGAGCGAGAGCACGTAGACTAGGTCCGTCCAGTCACCAACGCAGATCTCAACTCTGTCCTTTGACCCATCACAGACCCTGAGGAATCGCTTCCCCAGCGTGCTATCCACTACCCCAGAGCCACCGTGCAACGATTCAATACTCCGACGGAACAGAGAGGAGGATCGGGAAATACCAACCAGAAGGTAACCTTTGGATAGGCAGCGAGTTCACTGCAGCCCTGCTCTAGCAGGAACAGTAAACTCCTGTTAACTCAACACTCCGGGGGAAAGGGCTCAGTGGCAAATGAGGCATATGTATCAACACATAAATAAATGCAGCCGGGTTATTGTCGATGTGATGACTTAAGTGTTGGTGACAGGTTAAGCCCAGCTCGAGTTATCAGGAGTTCATTGCATATGTATATCAGCTATAACAGGCTCTGATAATCTGCAACCACAAAACACACAGTCACTACACTTTCCAGAATATCCTGTGAAGCGCTTTGAGACGTCCTCCCGATATGGAAGGCACGGTACCCAATGTAAGAATTATTATTATTGTTAATATTTCATTTAATATTTTAATCGTTCCAAAAGAAAAACACTGGCTACAGTTGTGAGAAAAAGCAGCAGATTTTGATGACGTTAAAAAGAAAGTTTCCATGTTTTTTTGTTCCTTATTCAATCTGATCAGCTGCAAACATTGATCTCCCTGTGAGTATGAAGAAGTGGATTATACACTGTGCCGACCAGTTTGTCCAAGCTAAATTTCACTGCCGTTTATGGAAGTATTTCCCTTTGATAATTACTGTTGAAATCCAATGCTGTCTGCTCGCTGTTTCCTGATCTGTTTCTTTTTCTTGACGTTCCCACGAGTAAAATACTGCCTGAAAGCAGGCTGGTGGAAACAGATTCAACAACGGCTTAAAAAAAGGGAATTAGATAGGTACTTGAAAAGGGAAAAAATGGCAAGGATATGGGGAACGAGTGGGGAGTGGGACTGATTGAGTAGCTTTTCCAAAGAGCCGGCACAGGCACAATGGGCCGAATGGCCTCCTTCTGTGCTGTAATATTCTATGATTCTAAACCTTTCCAGAGTTGTACAATATTTCACTGATTTGCCTGCGCACAGTCGGATCCCGGTTCACCAACACTCCATGTAGAACAACAACAACTTGCACCCTTCACTTTGGGTGGGTCCTCTTTACAATGACCTCGGGGGGGAGATCCGTGAATCAGCGCTGTACGTGTCTGTATGCTTCTGCTGACTGACTGGCTGGTTTCCCACACATAGATCTCGCAGCACCAGCCATCCTAGCTACTGCTGACCAGCATGTGGACACTTGTATGTGTGTCTGCATGGGTGCGTGGGTGTGTGTGTGTGTGCGTGTGAGTCTGTGTGCGTATGTGCGTACTCTGCTTCTCCTGCTCTGTCTGTAATCCACGGAGCTGATCCATAGCTGCTGATTGAGTTTCAGGGGGGAATGTCTTCACTTCTTAACATCCAATTCCAACCTTCCCAGACGGTCAATTAAGCCAGCGCAGTAATTGGATGGGAAAGAAACCAGCCATCGTGCGACTCTTTTCACTGTTATGACTCCGACACAGACATTTGGCGAAGCACTTTGAGCAACCAGCTAAATGAGCAAATGGCTCGCAGCTTGAACGGTTGGGAGTTAGTTCTACAGGACTCGCTTTACTTTGAAATGGGGAACCTCAGCGAGTTAGGAATCATAGAATCATTGAATTTAACAGCGCAGAAACAACAACAGCAACAACAAAATTACCTATATGGAGCGCCTTTCACGTCGGGAGGACGTCCCAAAGCGCTGAACAGTCAGGTATCGGGGCAGGAGCATGGGGGAGGGGTGGTGTAGGGATGAGGAAAGACAGAGAGGTGGGAGGGAGGCCAAAGGCATGATCGAATAGAAGGGTCTCGAGATCGACCTTGAAGGAGGCAAGGGAGGAAGCCCATCCAGTCTGCATGGGCTCTCAGAGCAACGCAATGTACCTCCAGCGCTGCGTTAGAGTATCATCATATGCTATGCGAGTTCAAGTCTCGATGTGAGGCTTGAACCCACGACCTTCTGACTTAGAAGCAAGAGAGAGCGCTACCGCTGAACCAGGCTGACACATGACAGCCGAAACAGGGAGTTTCTCCCATTTGTCCTGGCGGTCGTCTCTGCCTCACCCAATGCCGCAATTTTAAAAGTGTTATTTCCTCAGCAGTTAGCAACCTGAAGCGCAATTGTGCATCTGCTGCTGAGAGTGAGTTTATTACCGGGCGACGGCAACCGTGCAGGTTGATATGTATATCTATGACTGTAATAAGCCGGGGGATATTGACCGTGCTGTTGATGTCTTCCACAGGGAAGTCATAGTGACGCAGAATGGGGTGCTTGCGTTTGAAACGGTGCCCAATTGTTATACGTTTCGCCTGCAAAATATACAGTTAACTCCCTTTGCAGTATAGTCCTGTGAAGCACTTTGAGACGTCTCGAAGACGTGGTAAGGCGCTTTATCAAATGCAAGGATTACTATTACTGCTATTATTATTATAGCCCTTGCATTTTAATATAGCGCCTTATCGCTTCATCAGGATGGATCAACGCACTCCGTATCCATTTCCCCTATCGCCTGACGGTGGGGCTTTTGAGCGGTCTGTCGGCTGTCGTTTGCAGCGCTGCGGCAACTGAGTGGGATTGAGACGCACTGCGAAGGCGCTGCAGGCAGCCAGTTGGATGATAACACTGATAATGATGACGTAGTAATGCGGATGATAGCGCCTAAGGTGTTGTGTAATTGTCTGGGCACTTCGCTCCTGTCCTTCCCTGCTCATTTCTCTTCATTCTGCTCCCTGACAGTATCACAGAGGAGGATGACGATAGCTTCTGCGGCTACAGTTTGGACCTCATGCAAATGGAGATGGATGGTGAGCTTTGTTTTACACTCGTTTTCTCGTTGGGGAAGCTGAGGCTTCAATAACCTAAATCACTGATAGATTCTTGTCATTCAGCCGTATAAGGGAGTGTGCAAAAACATGGTTTACACGTTCAGGGACAGCGGATCTGAGCTCTAATCTTTCGTACTCCTTGACATAGAAAAATAGAAATCATAACAACTTGCTCTTCACTACAGGATAGTGTCTCAGAGCCCTGTAGGGTGGGGTTGGACTCTGGGCAAGGGTAAAGTGGGTGATGACCCCAGGTGCGGTTAAAGAGGTCAGAGAGATAGGGAGCTGCCGGAGGTGAAGGGATTTGTAGGTAAGGGTGAGGATCTTGAAGTTGATCCTCACGGAGATGGGGAGCCTGGCGAGAATTGGGATGTTTGGTGAGATTGCAGTACAGAGGGAGGCCATTCGGCCCATCGTGCCTATGCTGGCACCAGCCCCTCCACTCCACTGCTCTTATCGGTGGAGTCCTGTAGCTCAGTGATTAGAGCACTTGCCTCGCAAGCGAGGGACCCGGGTTCTATTCCCGGGCAGGGCGAAATGTTGGGCACGTTTCCTTACTCCACACGCCTTTGAAGGTGGGGAGGGAGGGGGCAAGGTGGAGGGATTGAGGGAGAGAATTCCAGAGTTTCGGGGTGTAGTGGCTGAAGGCACGGACACCGATGGCGAAGCGGAGGGCACAAGGGACAAACAGGAGGCCAGAGCCACTGCCATACATGGACTGTTCTTGCAAGTAAAGGAAGCAATGCACATCAACTCTCAGAGTTTGAACAGTTTGTTGCTTTAAAATGCACAAATGTCTGCCTCCTGTGTGTGTCTACCGCGCGCGCGTGTGTGCGTGAGAGGTATGAGTGCACATGACCGAATGTGTGTAAATGTAAGAGTACATTGTGAATGTGTGTCGAGCATGTAATAGTGTAGGAGGTATATATGAATGTGTGAGATTGAGTGAATGTGTGCGTGAGAATATGCATGTGCGTGAGAGCGCGAGCGTGTGTGTTTGTGTGAGTGAGTGCGTATGAGTGCATGTGCGCAAAGATGCCGAGTAAACCTGTGTGCGAGAGTGTTGAACACTCAGCCCATTGGTGAAGATGTCTAGCGTGTTTCTTTTTCTGGTCTCTGGGTTGGACTTGCAATCAAAGGCCAATGTTATGAGAACGACAATTTAATGACCTTTCTCCTCTGAACCGCTAATTGTTTCTGATCTAGATGACTATCAAGACAGGAACTCTCATGGCCCTCCATCCATTCACTCCTCCTCGTCATCTCACCAGTCGGAGGCCTTAGATTCGTGTGAATTGGACCATTTTAACTCCATGTTCAGGAAATACTCACTGGAAAGGTAGGGCTCTGGAACTCTACCCAGTGTGTAGGGCGCTATATAAATCCAAGTTGTTGTTGTTGGTGAATGACTGAGCAGATAACGAGGTTCGATCAATATTCTAAACATCGATATAGGATGACTTCCATTATCACACTTCCTGCACATAGTTTGCCATGATAATAATAATAATAATCATCCTTGCATTTGATATAGCGCCTTATCACACCGCTGAGATGTCTGAAAGTGCTTCGCAGGATACACTGTGAAGTGGGTTCCCTACGTATTTTGTGGGCAAAATGTAGGAAGTGACCTCAGCAGCAATCTGATGACCTGAAGTCCGCCATTTTGTAGCGTGGGAAGCGAGTCAGACAGTGCGGAAGCTGGGGACATGCTTCCTGTTCGTGCAGGTCCACAGGACACAACACTACGTGGAGCAAGTGCCGCTGACGTGCAGGAAGTGACATTAGCAGTGACCTGACAACCTGGAAGTCAGACGTTTTTTGGCACTTTGCCTATAAAGTGGGCGCTGAGATATTGGAACCAAATCGCTGTGCTTTAGCGGGGGTTGCCCTGCACTAAATCCTAAGGTGCCGAGCGGGGGTACTTGAACCAATATATTTCCAGTCCCATTTTTATTGCGTTTACTTTGTTCCACATTTTTTTTCAATAACCTCCTCTCTTCTCATGTCTTCCCGCCACTGTGTAGAGGATTGTAAGGAGATTCACTGTGTATCTGTGTGTGTGTGTGGGGGGGGTCTTTGTGTGGGTATGTGTGTGTGTCTGTATGTGTCTGTATCTGTGTGGGGGTGGGTGGGGTGGTGGGCAGGGGGGGATTTGGAATGTCAGACTACAATATGGAGTCACTTGTCCACTTGTTTGATACACCTGTAAATAAGAGCCAGGAGTGAATCTTAACCTTTCCTTTCCTAACGTGTAACTCGCAGGCCATTCCGACCCTCGGTGACGTCGGTCAGTCAGGTCAGGAACCCCCTGAGACACATGTTGTACACAACCCTGGACAGTGACAAGCTGAGGTCAGAAATCTCCGTGGTTGGGGGGAACGAGAGAGGCCTTTTCATCCAGTCAGTCCAGCAAGGCTCCGAGGCAGAGAAGGAAGGGTTGAAGGAGGGACATCAGCTGTTTCTGGTAAGAATCGCGCACAAGGTTACCTTTGGTGCTCGGAAAATTCTGTAACAAACGGGAAGAGCGCTTTGTCTCAGCACTGTCAATGGCAGAGATAATAATAATAACAATAATAATCCTTGTATTTGATATAGCGCCTTATTATGTCTTTGAGACATCTCAAAGCACTTCACAGGATACACTGTAAAGTGAATTGACTGTATATTTTGTTAAGGGGAGGGGAGGGTGGAAGAAACTTTCGTAATTGAGTCTTTAAAATCTCTAGCATCTGTTAGTGACTTGCCAAACCTGTTCTGTTCACAATCGAAGAAAAAACAACTGACTCAATGTACTGCAATAGCCTCTTCTGATCCCACGCTCCTAAATTGAAACTTAAGGCAGATAACACGAACACTAGGTGTGGGTTGGAGCCCAGGGACTGGGGGGAAAGGGACCGTGGGCCAATGGTGCCTGGTTTCAGTGCTGAAAGCCAACTTGTGTCTTTACTTTCCTTGAAGCTGGAAGGTTGCGTCAGAGGAGAAAGTCAAAACGTGCCCTTGGAGATGTCAACCAAAGAGGAGGCCCATTGGACATTCCAGCGTTGTAACGGACCGGTCACCCTTCACCATAAGGCAAATCTCGATGGTAAGTCAGGGTCCTGTGGTCTCACATGGCTGCTGGGGTTCAAAGGGACAAATTGCCCGGCTCGAGAATGAAGTGAGGAAGGGGTGAGAGGTGGTGGTGAGAGTGGGGGGAAGAGAGAGAGAGAGAGAGAGATTGGGGGAAGGGAGAGGAGGGAATACTGCATCATATTGACGAAGGGGTGAGGCGGAATTTTAATAACTGGCAAACGTTACTAGGAATGCGTTATGAAATACTGCAAGTTTTACCCCAGTGAGTCAGATCTTTTAAGTGTGTTGGGTCAGGCTCTCGATTGACAGAAAAAAAAAGCCCTGAAGTTACCCGATCCCGGGTTACTTCCACAATCCTTCCCATAACAGCAAATGAGATTTACACGGCGCGTTTCACGTCAGGAGGACGTCCCAAGGCGCTGGACGGTCAGGGATTTGGACCCGAGCTGGGGGTTGGGATCAGGAGAGGGTGGAGGACAGCGAGGATAGGGGAAGAAAGATGGAAAATGGCAACCAGTTTGGCTGAGGTTTGAAGTCGTCCGTTGTCAAACGCTACTCTCCTGTTGCCAGTCCTTCATTATTTAACACTTTAAGCCTGGAGGAAACCCACTTTGATTCAAGGAACCTGTCGGAAATGATACGTAAAGGTTTGGCTGCAGACCGGGGCAGAGGAAGGAATTTTTTCTTTTCTTTGCATCTATTAGCTTGAAAAGCCCAAACACATGAATGAAGCTTCAGGTGCAGGTTGAGGTGTGACAGTCCCTATTAAAGGCACTATTGAATTTATATTACACTCTGAAGCATGACAGTGCCCTTCAAGGGTGCATTGTGATCGGGCTTTGTGTGGCTGGAGGAGGACTCCTGAATGTGTACAAACAGTGTGGCTGGTGATCTGTGGCTGCAATGGAGTATGAGGCACTGCAGCAGTGTTATCAGCAATTAAACCCGATAAGCCTGAACAATGAGAGAGACTTTCAACTAGTTTATATTCTCTTTTATACGATATAAACGCCGTCCTCATTGCATCCGATGCTTGGGGCTAATTTGATGGCAATCTTTTCATTTGTAAGCCCGTGCCAGTGCCTGAGCGAACACGTGTACGCACGCATGATTGCACGCATGTGTGTTATAATAATATTAATCCTTGCATTTGATACAGCGACTCATCACTCCTTCGAGACGTGTCGAAGCGCTTCACAGAATACACTGTAAAGTGAATTGACTGCATATTTGTGGGCGAAACGCGGCAGCCAATTGCGCACAGCAGCGTCCCACAAACAGTCGTGGTTTGAGTGACCAAATTGTAATTTTTTTTGGAAGCATAGTTTCCTTGTGTGACAGACACCCAGCTGATCACAAGAAAAATCGACATGGGGGCAAACACCATTTCCTTACGTGTTGGAGTGATTGTGTCTGTGTGCGCGTGCTCGAGCCTTGTAAATTCGTGCTCTCGCGCATGTCTGGTGCGTAAGTGTCTGCGTGTCAGTGAAAGACTCTGTGTGTGTGTGTGTGGTACGTGAGTGCATGCAAGCAAGTGAAATGAATTGGCCTTTTTGTCGGTCCAAATGAAAGAAAACACTTTGTGCGCATTAAAAGATCCCGCGAGCGATTCGAGAAGAGAAGGGAGTTTCTGTCTCTCTCTTCCTCTCTCTCCTCTCTCTCTCTCTCTAATGTCTTGGCTGACAGTGGCCCAAAATAACATTAAAAAAATTATTCATTCACTTCCTGGCTGTTTCGCAGGACAGGATGGAAATTGCTGGGCACAAATCGAGTGCCTAAAAAATAAACTGCGAAGCGTTTGGAAACACGGCAATCACGTGAAAATAAGGTGCTCTATCAAATGCAAGGATTATTACAATTATTATTATTTTTAAGGTTACAAAAAACTACAGAAGGATATGGACGAGGGCTGCATCACATCAGGTGATTCTTTCTACGTCCGCGTCAACCTGAATATTTCGGGACAGAACGACAGCTGTTCGATGTGTGTGAAGTGCGATGAAGTCATCCACATTTTGGACACCATGTATCAGGGCAAATGCGAGTGGCTTTGTGCCCAGGTCGACCCCACCACGGACAAAGATTTGGAGAAAGGCACCATCCCCAGCTTCTGCAGGTAAACCAAACCGAGGGGGGAGTTTTGCTTCCAGGTATTTCCCTGAGCCTGGCCGCACCCTGTGTATTGGGATTGGTGAGCAGTGCCCAAAATGCCCATTTTGATACTGATTTTGGATTGGCGCGAAGTTCAGATAATCACAGACTGATTTCATATTAACACTGACTTCAGATTGGCACTAATCTCAGATGGTGACGGAGGGGCAGTGAGAGGGGGGGGTTAGTGACGTATAATTTTTTTTGTGTATATTAAAAGTATACTATAGCATTAAAAGTGCAATTGGCGCCACCTAGAGGGAGGAACCAGGCCCTCAAGCTAATGCCGGGGAAAGGAAATTTGTTCTGAACTGTTTCCTCAGTGTCTCCGTCAAATCTCCAGGATCTCTTTTGAGTCACACAGCGATGGTATCACAGAGGCTCAAACAAGAGCCTTTCCCTCTCGCAGAGAAATCAGGGACACGACTGTTTATTCAGGACGTACAGGCTCTTTGTGAACCGATAAGGAATGAACTGAGTTCTATTGGAATATTGGGGCGATTCCAAGCCCAGGCTGAGTTCCCGGAACAGCTTGCTGCAGCGAAAAAAAGGAAACATTCATCTCACAAATCGTTCTCTGCAGGGCTGTAGTATCTTTCTGTGGACCTACAGTTGCTCGATGCAGTGTTCAGCTTCTTTCATGTCCCGCTCCCCAGTCTTTTTAGTAAAACTGTGACGAGAATCAGCTTGAAGAGGATTGTTTCACACAACATCACAAGATCGGTGTGGATCAAGGAGGCTCCTTCCCTTGGCCCCATCCGGTCTCATCCCTCCAGATCATCCCTCCACCCAAACATTCTCCATCACAGCATTGAGATGCTTTGTCCTGACCTTAACCAACCACTCTCCCTGCCAACATTGTTCCAGTCGTTGATTAACTAGTTACAGTATATCCTCTGAAGCCCTTTGAGACGTCTCAAAGCATGATCAGGCGCTATATCAAATGCAAAGTTTATTATTATTATTAGTCCTGTAGTCCTGTGCAAAAAACAGTCCAAAAGGAATGAGGAGACATGGGTGAGCGAGAGGAACCTGCAGACTGGCTTGTCAGTCAGTGCTGTCGAGTCCACCATCCCATAACCCAATCCCTTCCCCTTCATTGAAACTCTTGTGCAGAATCTGTAAAATTTGCTCAATTTCGAACTGAGTTGGTTCCTGGTTTTCTTGTCAGCTGCAGACATTCCAGTCATTACTTGCCAGCCATGGCCTGAGATGCTGCCAAATGCCACGTTTACGCAATTCCAAGAAACTGATTCACGCAACTCCTGGAATCCTGTAGCTCAGTGGTTAGAGCACTCGCCTCACAAGCGAGAAGATCTGGGTTTGATTCCTGGGCAGATTTCCTTACTCCACCCGCCTCTGTTTACCTAGCAGTAAGTAGGAACCCGGTTGTTTGTCGATTGTCGGATCGCTTTTCCGGGGCTAATAATCCCTTCAATAAAATTAATTAAAAATAATAATTTAGTCACTTAATTACGACTGGTTGTGGGACGCTGTTGTGCGCAATTGACTGCTGCGTTTCGCCCACAAAAACATAGTCAATTCACTTTACAGTATATTCTGTGAAGCGTTTTGAGACGTCTTGAAGAGTGTTTTGACGAAGCAGGCTTTTACAGGGTTGGGAGGAGTAGGCTTGATGTAGGTTTCACGACTCAAGTCCTTTCTGACCAGATGACTGTGTGTTCTTGTTTCTCTAAGGATGTTGCCGGGCCATCTGCTATCTCACTGTGATCACAAGTTACTGTCACCCTTTCGCGAGTTTGATCCTCGCCTCTCCCTCCCCCCCTTCCCCTCCGCCTCCCCAACCCCCAACTACAACAACAATTTGCATTTACACAGCGCCTCTCTTGCGGGGCAGCGTCCCAGAGTGCTTGACAGTGGCGGAACCGGGGTGGGGGAGGCACGGTCGAACAGGAAGGCTTTCAGGTGCGCCCGACGATGGGGAAGGAAGGGGTCCCCAAGCAATGGCCGATTGTGGAGGTCAATAGTTCCAGTGAGAGGAAACCTGGAACTGATTACATGACTCCTGTAGGAACACAGCTCCTGATCCATCTGTGAGGGGAACCCGAGAGTTACTTCCCTTTACGCTGCCGAGAGGGACCTTTTGAAAACACTGCAGTCTTGGCTGCGAGTCTCAACCTCCCAGAGCTGTGCTGGGACGGCTTAAACACAATGCCACTTCTTGACCCCAAAAATGCGAGGTCTCTGTTTCCGTGCACCTTCTGACCTTCTATTCTCCCGGAGATGAAGCAATGGGTTTGTGCCAACAAAAGCCGAGCTTGAAAGTAATGCTCCTTTGTTGTCATTGGCAACACACAAACTCATTTGAGTTCAGGTACACATCAGCCATGATCTAATAGAGTGGCAGAACAGCTTAGGGGTGGGGGGCTGAGTGGACTACTCTTGTTTCTATGGCAAGCGCATTTGACTCATTTCTGAGTCAACTCTTTTGACTCATTGCATGGAGAAATGGGTCTTGATCCTGTGGCTTTCTGGATCTGAGTCCCAGCGGTAAACTGGACAGGGTTCCCTGACACTGAGCTAAATCACGACAGTATTACTATCAAAGGCAAACACACTGCGATTTCTCATGCTCAGTATGTATCCTATCTGGGTAATCCTCAAGCCTTATCATTCCCTTGCAGGGCCCAACAACTCCTCATGGTAAAGATCCAGAGATTGATGTGCCGTAGCTGCAAGGATGAGACAGATAATCAATACAGCACACTCCGAGGAATTTGGGTCTGTCTTTCTTTCACTCTGAATAATTTATACTGGTTTGCGCAATCAATTTCCCTTAAGTGAACAGCCTATTTTGCTTCAAAATATCTGGCATTTCTCTGAAATCTTGACACGACGGAAATATATATGGAGAGAGAGAAAGAAAGAGAGGGAGAGATAGAGAAAGTGGGGAGCTATAGACCTTTAGCCAAACAATTAGCAAATATTTAAATCCGTCCTTCCAATTTGAATATCCTTTATTTTTAATATTAATGTAATGCAGAATTGTGATGTAAATCGACTCTGGTAAACGCACGGTTAAAGTGCAGAGAAGCTCGGGGCCGCCTTCAGACTCACAGGGCCTCAGTGCTTGAAACAATTAAAGTTCAGTCACATTTGCAGTAACAGTTACACCGTGCGCGAGTGTGTGTTTCTTAGCAATAAAACATTGCCGACGTGCAGTAACCCTGTCAGTGAAATGGCAAATGTTCCATAATGAATGAGCGTGGCCTTTTCGAGAGGGTGCAGGTGTCTGTTGGGCGGAGGATATATATAGGAGAGGGGAGAGAGAGAGAGAGAATAAAAGGCCTTGGTCAAACAGGAGGCAGCACCAAGTCACTGCCCCGTGCAAAGGGCGCTATGTAAATGCAGGTTGTTATTGTTGTCGTTGTTGCTGTTGTTGAGGAAAGCAAGTAGAGAACGGGTGGCCAGTGTTCGCCTCCCCCCCACCCACCAATGGCATTGGTTTATTTTGGGGAATTAAGAAAACCCAAGAAATCTGTGATTCCGACTCAATACAAAAACAACATCACATTTGTGTAGCGCCTTTCACGTTGGGAGGATGTCCCAAGGCGCTGGACAGACGGACCCGAGCTGGGGGTCGGGATCGAGGAGGGTGGAGGGTAGGGTGGGGGGGAAGCAAGGAGATCGAAAGCACGGTCTAAGAGGAGGGTCTTGAGATGGGTCTTGAAGGAGGCGAGGGAGGGGGCGAGGATGGAGTTCCAGAGGGTGGAGGCAGAGTGGCAGAAGGCCCGCCCGCCAATAGTGGGGCGAGCAAGGCGGGGGACGTGAAGCAGGCCCAATGGTGGGTGAGTGGGGGAAATAACATCCTGAGTTATCAACAGGAGCCCTCCCATTCCTGCTCACCAACCCCACTCCCTATTTCTTATTCAAGAAAGCCATTAGGAAGTATCGCAAACCTGACCCCTCTGTTTCGAGCGATGAATCAATTGCCTGCGCAGACAGAGGACGGTTTGGGATATTTATTCCAATATCTATTTTCCTTTTAACACAATCTACTATTTGCCAGGAATTCATTCGGTTAAGGACTGACTGCATTATTTCTCACTTCGCGTTTATTTTATATTTTCATCTCGAACCTTCGAGAGAGATCTATCAAATTATTTATTTGTTTTTCTTTTGCTCTGAAAATGAAGCCAAATAGTGGGGCACAGAACATATATATATATATATGTATGTATATATATAAAAAACGAGGGCAGGGGGAGGAATTCTATCATGTAAATGAGTTTTTTGTTGTGAGCCTTGGCCGTGTAATGATGCTTGTAGAGTAATGGATGCATGAGGTGCGGGGAGGAGGAGGTTGGGGGGGGAGGAGTGGAAGTTACAAGGCAGTTAAGATACAGCGAGGGTTCAGATAATGCTATAAACCATGGGAGCGGAATCAGTTTAACTGGCCCGCTGAAGCAAGCAGACAAACCTAATTTATTGAAACAACTGTTGAGCTCCATCAAAGGCCTGGCTGGAAGCCATACGTTGCAAATGCAGCCGTTCAGCTAATTACTCCAGCTAATGGATATTTCTGATTTCCTCTCTCTTTTCTTCCAGAGTGTGCTCCAGCCTGAGGAACAGCCCCCCATCGATCCCAAAGCCCCCCGGCTCTCGCGAGCTAGCATCTTTTTCGGGCAAATATTACAGGTGATAATAACAATAATGACAATAATCCTTGCGTTTGATATTCCGCCTTATCACGTCTTCGAGACATCTCAAAGCGCCTCACAGAATATACTGTAAAGTGAATTGACTGTATCTGCTGTGGGCGAAATGCGGCACACACCAGCGTCCCACAAACAGTCAATTTAAATAATTTAAATAAAATCCCAATTAAGGCCCGAAATCGCACCCTATCTTAGACCCCGAGACCCTCTTTGTCTCAGAGATGAAGCTGAATGGTGAAAAAAATAGTCTTAAATCCAGTTATAATTTGCATCAGGGATGGACAGATGTCAGTCTGGCTCAGGCTCTCTCACCTCAGAGTCAGAAAGGCTAGGGTTCAAGTGCTGCTGGGGGTGGGGAGGAGAGAGAACCCATCGGAGGTGCCATCTTTCAGTCCCCGTCTGTGCCTGTTCAGGTGGACGCTGAGGATCCTATGGTACTATCCTTAAAGTGATGGGAGTTTCTCCTGGTGTCCCAGCCAACAATCCACACGCAACCTGTTTGGTGTCTACGCCTGCCCCCTGGGTTTCATCCTCGGCTGGTTTTGCCAGTTTTTNCCTCTGACTTTTTACCTTCTTTCTTGGTTAAGTTTGTCAGCAGGAGTGACAACAAGTACAAGAGGATGAACAGCAGCGAGAGAGTGCGTATTGTCACCGGGTCACCATCTGGGCCAGCGAGATCCACCTTCGAGACCCTCAAGAGCTCATCCGACAAGCAAGACGGTACTTTCCATTACCTACACTTTGTTTCACTCCAGCGTACGGCCATCCCATACAGTACAGTTACCTGCACTGGTTGGAACCGGCTGCCTTGTGGATAAGGAAACTGTGTGGATAATTGGATCATCTCCCAAACCTAAAATTGGATATCGTGCTCTTCAGTCAAAGAGTTATAAGGCAACTTTTATACCAGCCCTTGTTTCTCTCTCCTTTCTTTCTTTCTTTCTTTCTTTCTTTCTTTCTTTCTTTCTTTCTTTCTTTCTTTCTTTCTTTCTTTCTTTCTTTCTTTCTTTCTTTCTTTCTTTCTTTCTTTCTTTCTTTCTTTCTTTCTTTCTTTCTTTCTTTCTTTCTTTCTTTCTCTCTCCCTCTCTCTCGCGCTCTCTCCTCTCTATCTCCTCTCTCTCTTTCTTTCTCTCTCTCTGACGTTCTCTCTGAGAGAAGAAAGATGGAGTATTTTCCCCCTGATAACCTGGTACATTTCATTTCCAAAACCGGATTTACCCTCGAAATTCAGTTGAAACGCCTGCTTCACTTTATTGTACTCCATACAAGGCTCCACCCCTCTCCTCCTACTCCAACGCAAAGCACTTTGAGACTTCTTTTTTTACACATGTGAAAGGAACGATGTAAATGCAAGTTGTTGTTATTGTCCACACTTAAAGCCGTGCAGAACCGTGACCTGGCTGGTGACCCCAGTGTATTGTGTTTGTACCGTATATAGAAAAAGAAAAAGATCTGGATGCAGAGAGCGACATCAAGAAGAGTTTTAGCCTGATCCCCTACAGCCTGGTCTATCCCTGTCACACTCAGCGAAAGCGTCCTGTGCTCTTCTCTCCCACACCGCTGGCCAAAATGCTTGTGCAAAAGCTGCTGAACTCTGGCGAGGCCATGGAGTTTGATATCTGCAAACCAGGTCAGGCCCTGCCACTTAACGTTCGATCACTCAGTCCACGACTGTTTGCGGGACGCTGCTGGGCGCAGTTGGTTGTCGCGTTGCGCCCGCAAAATATACAGTCAATTCACTTTACAGTGTATTCCGTGATGCGCTTTGAGACGTCTCGAAGACGTGATGAGACACTGTATCAAAAGCAAGGATTATTATTATTAATAGAGCCGTATTGAATAGGAGGAACAGCACTCGTGACTTGCTGTGCACTGCGCTTTTGGGCAAACAGGCTAAATAAATAAGCAAAATGTTATCACTGCTAATCCTCACATGGATTTTCAGATAGATTTTTTGCTAGGTAAAGAGTATCAAGGGATAGGGGGCAAAGTGGGGTAATTGGAGTCGAGGTATGGATCGGCCATGATCAAATAGAACAGGCCTGGGGGGGGCTGAATGGCCTACTCCTCTTCCTGTGCTCCTGTTCAATACAACTCCCTGCAACATCGAAACGTCAGGCTGGCACTTTCGGCTCTGGGTCAGACCCCTGTGGGTTCACACCACACTTCAGGACTTTGAGCTCACAGTCCAGGATGACGTACCAGTACAGTGCTGAAGGAGCCGTGTATTGTCGGAGGCGAGGTCCTTCGGATGAGGTATCCAGTGACCTCTGTTGGAAAAGGGAAGCGAGATTTTCCCTGTGTTCTGGCCAAGAATCCTCCAAGTAGGATTTGTATGCAAATGTAATTTATTGTTGCTGTCATTCACTTCGTGGGACATTGCTGTGCGCAAATTGGCTGTCGTGTTCGCCCGCAACTGCGCAATCCATTACATTTTTTATTAAAACCCTGAAGAATGTTGAGAAGTTTCGATGCAATATCAAATGCAGGAATTATTGTTATTATTATTATTATTATTATTTCTTGAAGTGCTTCTCAACTGCTGTGTTGGCAAGTGAATGCATTGTAATTGGGTTTTATAGTTCACCATCTGATTGCAAATCCAGCTTTACATGATAAATAGAGCATAACAATCCTTGCATTTGCTGCAGCGCCTCATCTCATCGAGAGGACATCTCAAAGCGCTTCATAGGATAGACTGTAACGTGCAGTGACTGTGTGTCTTGTACGCGAGTTTAACAAGTTCATTAGCTGTATTCTTGCACGTTGAATGCAGATGCGGAAATAAAACGGGCCAAAGCTCGGGATGAATTTGTTCTTTCTGAAGTCTGAAGGGGTCTTTATTTATACTGGATTGTTAAATCGTTTCTTTCCCTTAGATGTTTTAAACAAAGAGGAATATTTACAGAAGCAGAAATCTGAGACGATTGTTTTCTCCAGAGAGACGCACTTAAATGCCTTTGAATGTGTCACACCCACCAACATCAAAGCCGTGGCTGCCAAGGTAAAGTGGCCTCCCCCTCCCTCCCGCCCCCCTCCTCCCCTCCCTCCCGCGCCCCTCCTCCCCTCCCTCCCGCCCCCCTCCTCTCTCCCCCCAAACCCTCCCCCCTCTGCATCTCTCCCGCTCTGTCCTCCTCTCTCTCCGTCCCTCTCGTCTTCTATCCCCACTTGACCCTCCCACAACCTCCCTCTGCTCCAGCCTGGGAATCCTCCGCCGGGCTCACCGTGGCACTCGGCGTTGGCTGTCCAGCAGCAGCCACACCGACTGCCCCATTCCCCACCACACTCGCCACCCACCCCGGACACAGACCCGGGGAGTCAACCTCTCCTCCCTCATCCCCATCCCCCCACCCCTGCCTCACAACCTGGACCCCCCTCCCCTCCCACACACCCTTCTGTCAACCGCTCCCTCCACATCGGACTGCAAAATGTCCGCTCCCTCTGCAACAAGGCCCTGGTCATCAACGATCTCATCCTTGATGAGAACGTTGATATCATGGCCTTAACAGAAACCTGGCTCACCCCAGGCGACACCTTCCCCCTCACGGAGGCCACCCCACCCGGCTACACCTCCCACCACATCCCCCGCCCCAACCGCCGTGGCGGTGGTGTTGCCCTTATCTCAAGGACACCACTTGCCCTATCCCCCTACTCCTCTGGCTCTTTCCCCTCCTTTGAGCACCTCACCCTCTCCCACCCCTCATTCCTCTCCCTTAAAATCCTCCTCCTCTACCGGCCCCCTAAAACCTCTCCCACCTTCATCTCTGACATTTCAACACTCCTCACATCTCTTTGCCTCTGCTCTGATCGCCTCATCATCCTGGGCGACTTTAACCTACACTTCACCCCCTCCTGCTCCATCTCCACAGACTTCTCTTCCCTGCTCTCCTCACTCAACCTCTCCTTACACATAAACTCCCCCACTCACAGTCACGGCCACCCACTCGATTTGGTGATCACCCGGGGCCTCAGTGTCTCGGATGTCACTATTACCGACAAGGCCATCTCTGACCACTACTTCATCTCCTTCACCACCTCCACCCCCCTCCCCACCTCCACCAGACCCACCACCATCTTCTACCGCCCTTGGAAGAAGTTACCCCCACAATCCCTAACCGATGCCTTGGAGTCCTCTGAACTCCTCTCCCTCTGGCCTTCAACCCTCACCGACCCCTCTTCTCCTCTCTCCCTCCTCCACAATACCCTCTCCTCCACACTCGATACTCTTGCCCCCATCACTTCCCGCACTGTCTCCTACTCCCGCTCCTCCCCCTGGTACACCACCCACCTCCGCTCACTGAAAAGCCAGGTGCGGGCTGCTGAACGCACCTGTGTCAAATCTGGCCTAACGGTCCACCGACAAATCTGGCTGGACCTCCTCAAAATTTACCGCTCCACTCTAGCCTCGGCCAAGTCGTCCTTCTACTCCAGGATAATCCTGGAGGCGAAGAACAACCCCAGGCTACTGTTTTCCACCACAACCCGACTCCTCCGTCCCCCCGCCACCCCGCGCAGGTCATCTCCTCCAACCTTCACTGCGAGGAGATGCTGGATTTCCTTGAATCCAAGATCAAGGGAATCCGCTCCGCGGTCACTTCCCCTCCAACTTCCACCAACCCCCCACCCCTCCCTCCCACACTCCGACTCCTACCCATCCTCCCCTACACACCTTCGTACCCGTTTCCCCACCCTCTGTCACTGAACTCATCCTATCCCTAAAACCAACCACCTGCTCCCTTGACCCCATCCCCACTCCACTCCTTATCTCCCAGCTCCACTTTCTTGCCCCACATATCACTGACATCATCAACCTGTCCCTCTCCTCTGGCTCTGTCCCCATTCCCTTAAAAACTGCCATCATCACGCCCACCCTGAAAAAACCCTCCCTTGATGCGTCGCAGCTATCAAGCTACCGGCCCATCTCCAACCTCCCCTTTCTCTCCAAGGTCCTGGAAAGAGTTGTCGCCTCCCAACTGCGCTCTTTCCTTTCCACCCATTCTCTTTTCGAACCCCTTCAGTCAGGTTTCCGTGCTGCCCATAGCACAGAAACTGCCCTGGTCAAGGTCACCAATGATATCCTGACCATCTGTGACCAGGGCTCCCTCTGTCTCCTCGTCCTCCTCGACCTATCGGCAGCATTCGATACGGTCGACCACGCTATCCTACTCCACCGCTTGTCCTCCCACCTCAACCTTCAAGGCACTGTCCTTGAATGGTTTAGGTCGTACCTTTCTCACCGTCTTCACTTTGTCTCACGAATGGCTTCTCCTCCACCCCCCGCACTGTCTCATGTGGTGTCCCTCAGGGCTCTGTCCTCGGTCCCCTCCTCTTCACCCTCTATATGCTCCCCCTTGGTGACATCATCCGCAGACATGGAGTTAACTTCCACATGTATGCGGATGACACCCAACTCTACCTTTCCTCCTCTACTCTCAACTCCACGACCACCGATGTCCTGACAGCTGCCTGTCCGACATCGAGTCCTGGACGAGAGACAACTTTCTTCAGCTCAACGTGCGAAAAACCGAGGCCCTCCTGATTGGCTCACGTCAGCGCCTCCGCACCTCAGGCGCTGACACCATCAGCATCCAAGGCTGCACTCTCCACCTCTCAAAGCCAGTCAGGAACCTCGGCGTTTTGTTCGACCCTGAGCTGTCCTTTCTCCCTCACATCCGCACCACAACTGGCACCGCCTTCCATCACCTCCGGAACATCGCCAGACTACGGCACTACCTCACCCCTCACGCTGCTGAAACCCTGGTCCACGCCTTTGTCACCTCAAGGCTGGACTATGGGAACTCTCTCCTCGCCGGCCTTCCCGCCACCTCCCTCCACAAGCTGCAGGTCATTCAGAACTCTGCAGCTCGTGTACTGTCCCGCACCAGGCTCCGCTCCCACATCACTCCCACCCTCGCTCGCCTCCACTGGCTCCCCATCCCCCAGAGGATTGATTTCAAGATCCTCATCCTCACCTACAAGGCCATTCACGGCCTTGCTCCCTCCTACCTCTCCAACCTACTATCCCCCTACCTACCTGCCCGTACCCTCCGTTCCTCTGGCTCCGGTCTGCTCCACGTCCCCCGCCCCAACCGCCCTACCATCGGTGGTCGGGCCTTCAGCCTCTCAGCCCCGAGGCTCTGGAACTCTATCCCCCAGTGCCTTCGCCGCTTCCTCCCTTTCCTCCTTCAAGGCCGGTCTCAAAACCTTTCTCTTTGACCGTGCCTTCAGCTCCCCTCTCGACTCTCTACCCCCTCCTCGCCCCCTCCCTTCCCTCCCCTCACCCTGACCATTTCCCCCCTGCTCGGGTCCTGACCCAACTGTGCAGCGCCTTGGGACGTCCTCCTGACGTGAAAGGCGCTTTATAAATGGAATCTTGTTGTTGTTGTTGTTGTCATGGATTTCTGTAGAAGGTTTGTCCTCAGAAATGACATGTAGTTATCAGAGGACAAAACTGGAGTAACATAATTCCAGTACGGGCAGTTTTACAATCCCTGTTAGTGGCAAAGTAAGAGATGTATTATTATTCATAATTTTAGCAATAATACTATATTTATATTTCTACTCAATAGACATACTATGAGTAGATTGAGTTTGACCATGCAGAAATTATAGGAACAAGATGATTATATTAACTGCGTCCTTTGGTAAGAAAGGTTTCTGTCTCTTGCTGTCATTACGAGTTGCAGCTTTACATTTTGTTTTTAAATTCCTGCTAGTGTCAGCTTATATATTGACCACAGAAAGTCCTGCTCTATGGCTGACAGTATTATCAACAACATGAGTAGCTGTGGCTTCAGGTGTTTTTTCTGTTTATCTACCAGTAAATAGGAACACAGTTGTTAGTCGAATGGTGAATTAATAATCCCTTCCAAAAAAAAAATAATAATTTGGTCACTCACTCCACGACTGTTTGTGGGACACTGATGTGCGCAATTGGTTGCCGCGTTTTGCCCACAAAATACACAGTTACTACACTTTACAGTATATTCTGCGAAGCGCTTTGAGACGTTCCAAAGACGTGATAAGGGGCTATATCAAATGCATGGATTATTATTACTATTATTATAATAATTCTTGCATTTGATATAGAGCCTGATCACGTTGTCGAGACATCTCAAAGTGTTTTGCGGGATCCACCGTGAAGTGGTGTGACTGTGTATTTTGTGGGAGAACATAGCACCTCATCACATTTTTCTGCCAAGTGTAGTGACTGTGCATTTTGTAGGTGAACGCAGCATCCGATTTGCACACAGCCATAATGTCTCACAAACAGTGATGACAGTTTTTTTTTACCTGAGGAGGGATTGGTGGGAGGGAGGGGATTGTTGAGCTTATTGCCCACATCTCATCCTCCACCCATTGCTCCAACAATGAATATCTCCCCGTGAGTTATAAATCAGATGCTTCCCTTCCTGATCGCAAGTGACAGTGTAATTTTACACATGGTTATCAGACGTCAGGGGCTGTAATCATTGAAATTAGTCGTGGAAAGAGTCCAATTCATTATTTGGCCATGAAATATAGAAATATTTTGCTGATTTCTGACCCGTGACAAGAATGTGATTTTAAGGCTGAATTTGTCTGTGGTTCAAGTGGTGGGAGTCAGGGGCCCTTGACAACAAGATTAGCCCCTGATCCTTGAAATAACACAGTGCTCCCTCCCTCCCTCCCTCCCTCTCCGAGCTCACACTCAAAGCAGACACTCCAGAACAGTGTTGGGTAATGTTACACCAAGGGAGGTGCCATCCTTTGGAAGTCCCATCTACGAAGGTAGGCAGTTAAAGATCTCGTGAACACTATTTGAAAAGAAAAGAGAGTTTCTCTCTACTGGTAACCCTGGCCAACCATCCCCCCCAATAAAATTGGTCACTCACTCCATGGCTATCTGTGGGATGTTGCTGTGCACAAATTGGCTCGTCTGTTCGCCCACTAAAGACCCAGTTACTACACTTGACAGCAATTAGGTTCAAGACGTTTTGACCCTTTATACACTTTATCAAATGCATGCATGATTATTAATATTATAATAATAATAATAATCCTTGCATTTGATATAGCGCCTTACCTGGTCATCGATACGTCTCAAAGCGCCACACAGAATACACTGTAAAAAGTGTAGTGACTGTGCGTTTTGTGCGCGAAATTATGCAAACTCCGAAAAAATTATGTTATTACTCCTCCAACGATTGCCGCCCGGGTGAGAGCGTGGAAACTGGCACCAATCTTTAATTTTTTTTTTGCTTGTCGAAAAATCGAATTGATGAGATTTGCTCGTCTCCGCGATAAAATGAAGAGGGCACACGACACGTAGATCCCACGGGCTTTCACTCATTCCTCAAGTGCCAGGTTCAATCAATTAGCACTAATGCCTCCAACCCATAATTTTCTCCCGTGTCAAGCCTAAATTCTACACCGATTGTTGATAAGCTGCTGCAGGAAGGAAGGCTCCAATAAGAAGATTGTATTCAATTATTTTTTTGCTGAAATTCAGTTTGTTAGGGAGGGGGGGTGAGGGAGAAATCTCAATCTCACGGGAGTGAAAAATCAATTTAGCCGTGAATCTGATGTTAAAATTAAATTTTTAAAAGCGAGCATAAAACAGGGCAGTTTAAGGGTCAAATAGGCTTGCTTGCATGTTAGAATTAACTAGGAAGAAAATTATTATCCTCTGGGGAGAGGAGGGATGGAATAGGCAAGTAATAAGCAGGTCTCCTTTCAGCTCGGCTGAGCTGGCTCCGTGATGAGGTGCCTGGCCACGGAATGTCGGAATCGAGTCAACCCTACGTGGTGGTCTCGGTAGCCCGGTTCCTGAGCCAGGTGGGTCCGTGGTATTCCGGGGCAACTGCTGATGACAGACCAGCCCAGCCTGGCTCATTGGTAGGACTTGGAGGGGCAGACCAGTCACTGGGAGCAGGGATTCTTCCTGCTCCGCCGCTGACAATCTTACCATCTAAAGGTAGTGTGGTCTGAGCTGGACAGGCAGTGGGAAGCTCACTGGACATCGCCCTCAGTTGGTAAGCTAAACAGTTTTAGTGGTTAATCTCCAGTTACCCCCCCACACACTCTGGAGTCCCCAAACCTTGGCTCTTTTCAACCTCTTGACGACTTGATAAGGCACCACTTCAAATGCAAGGATTGTCAAAACTTATAGATAGACGCCAATACTTTGTGAGCACCTAGATATAAGATCTGGTTGCTGGGTTATTTCACCCTCTTCCTTCACATTCTTCCTTCACAGAATAAACATTGTTTACTTGAAGCTGGACTGAACTGCACGAGAGATTTACTTAAGAAGGACATCTACCCAATTATAATCTTCGTCAAAGTCTCTGAGAAGAACATCAAGCGTTTAAGGTATTATCAGATCTGTCACATGAATAGAGGAGTTGAATGTTACTGCCTAAAGGTTTCCTCGTGTTTAGCGAGGTGTTGAGGAAGCTGGCCTGCTGCGAAGGAAACAATTGTCTCTCCTATGCCTTGGGGTTAAAAGTTATTTAAAGGTGTTACCTTTGTGTCTCCACACGAGCATTGTGCTCAGTTGAGGCGAGGGTCATTTTCCTTCTGAGAAACAAGAACATTTTGAAATGGAATTAGACAAACCCATTGCAGAGAGAGGGTACTAGATAAGATGCCTATTTGTGGGAATGTTGCCATGCGCATGTTGGCTGTCATGTTCACTTATAAGATACACAGTCACTGCACATTGCAGTAAGACCTGTGACGCGATTTGAGATATATATATATCAAATGCAAGGCTTAAAAAACGGTGAGACAGGCTTGATAGACTGAACGGCCACCTCTGTCCCTATTTTCCCCTGGTCAGCAAGCCAGGATTTGCTCAGGCAGGAAGAGGAGCTACTTGGGTGAGGGATGGAGGTGGGCAATTCAAGAGAGGTGGAGGAGAGAGAAGAAATTGGGAATATTTGTTGTTAACGCTGCAGATATCATGCAGGAATCCTAAACGGGGGTTGAATGAATTTCCCTAATTGCAGGAGGACGCCAACTAAACCTGAGAGCAGCGACGAGGAGCTTCTGAGAATGTGTCGCTCCAATGAGAGTGAGCTGGAGTCACTGCCCTGCCTTTACACCTCAGTGGACATCGATGCCTGGAGTAACATCAAGGACCTTATCAAAATCATCAAAGAGAAGATCCTTGAAGAACAAAGGAAAACTATCTGGATCGATCAGGATCAGCTGTAGAGCTTCACCGAGAGACTGAGGCCAGCATCAAGCCAATCAATCCACTGTAGCAATACTATATACTATGTCAAGCCAATCTACGTCGGTTAAAATTGGTCACTCACGTTGTGGCTGTTTATTGCTGTGCGCAAATTGCCTGCCCCGTTCTCCTGAAAAATGCACAGTCACTACACGTCACGGTGAGGTCCCGTGAAGCGCTTTGAGATGTTTCGACAACGTGATAAGGAGCTGTAGCAAAAGCAAGGATCGTTATTTATACAAGGCTCGCAAACTTTAGAGTAGTCGATCACCGGTGCTTCCTGAGCAGTGATGGGCTGGCTTGTGGTTAGCTGGTCCGTAACAGTCGGTGCAATGACTGCTTACAACCTAACTTTGCTGTGTGCTGACTCAACAGAACGACAGGAGTGAGATCTCACACTCACTCTCTGAAATACAGGTCCGTTGCGAACATTGCTTGGTTGATTCCCAGTCCCAGCCCAGCTGAACAGTCGGATTGGATTCCCTTCTGACTCCAATTCTACCACCTCTCTGACTCGTGAATGTAGCCAAACAGCTGAGCCCAGTGTGTGTGAAACAACATTCTAGAGATACTCAAACCGGATTAAGCACTCTGAGACGCCACTCTGCGTGGAGGGCACTAAATAAGTGCAGGTTGTTGTTGTTGTTGTTGTTCCTCATCTCCCAGTAAACCAAAATAATGTGAGGTTTAAAGGCCTGGTGGTGGGGAGGAGGAGAGTGGGGAAGGGAATTGAGGGTATGGGGAAAGGAAAAGGGGGTCGATCAAGGATAAAATCTTTAGCCTGTCATTAAATCATCCTTAACTCCTCTCTTCGCCTTTTGAAGTCTGGTATAATTTATGTTTTAAGTTTATTTGGAAAACACTGAACCAGGAAGTCCCACTTAAATGCCTTACATTTCTGTAATCCTAGATTATTACTGTGTCGAACGTTTAAACATTGACGATGGGTAGAATTTGAAAGCTCCTAAAAAAAAAAGATTGTACTTGTGTTCTTGTATTTATGATTATTGCGAACTGAAGGAATTCCTCAAATCTTTGCCAAGGACTGATCAGCTTGTGCCTTTTGGAATGCTAAGACTGATACCAAGATGTATTAAAGTTACAGTATTAAGTGGTGGAATCCTAATGCGGGTCAAACAGTGAGGTCCTCAGCAGTAGAGGCCCACATTAGGATTCCACCACCAGTGCTTTTGAAGTGCTCTGGGACGCTACCCTGTGTGAGGGGACGCTAGATTGAATTCCGTTGTTGTCGTCTCATCAGCTGAGGTTTGCCTTCCATTTGCTTCATTCTGGTGCACGGTTGCAAAGGGACTTTGAGAGCTCTTGAGTCCTGGCTGAATAATACACAAAATAAGTAGGTTGGAGTGTGCTTTGAAGCTGTACAATGTGAAAAATTATCTGTAACCAAAGGAGAGTTACTCGCTGGCAAATGCTCAAAGAATCTTTTGGTAAGACAGCGTGAAAATGAATGTAATGGTGCTAAGTGAATGCAGTGCCGGTCACTGTAGGCTAAGGTACAAATCCATCCCAGCCGATCAAAGCTCTTTCTTCACGATGGTAAGAACATAGGAACAGGAGTAGGCCATTCAGCCCCATTGAGCCTGTTCTGCCATTCATGGCTGATCTACACCTCAAACTGCAATTACCCGCCTTTGCCTCATATCCATTGATGCTCTGACTGACCTAACAAAAATCTATCCACCTCAGTCCTGAAAATTTGAATGGAGTTTGTCTATAATTTGAATGGGGCCTTACGCTTCCAAATGAACGGTACTTAGGCCACTTGGACCTTGTTCCAAGGTGCCATATTATACAACAATGTCTAGATTTGGCTTTTACCAGCCAGTTAAATAACTGGTAGTTTATGATCAACGGGATTCTGTTGTTGACTTGTCATTACAGCCCAACCAACTCACTGCACTTTCCGTTAAAAGGTGCAGTATAGCGTGATGAGAATTTTGTTTTGTATTAAACCCGTGTAATATGCATTAAACATGGTTAATTGTATAACGTTGTAATCATTTTGTGCTTTTTGCAGTCACGGAGGTCACAAATACTAACGACAGAGAGGAGCTGGTTGGATGAAAGCCAGGTGGCTAGAGACTTATTGGGTACTTAGTTCAATTGTCAGTATGTATTGAGCTCAGCAGTAGACGATCTCACTGTCTGGCAAGCTTTCCTGCTGCTTGTCCAGCTAGGACCACTCTACCCATTAGGGCTTTGGCTTGCAGGGTTAACAGGAGCTGAGCGGGAAGAATCCCTTTGTGACTGGACTGTCCAACCAATTCCTACCAATGAGCCAGGCTGGCTGGACTGTTATCAGCAGTGCTCTTGAGTACAGATCAAACTGCAAATGCTCCATCCTACTCTAAGTGCCAAAAAGATATTAGAGTTTAAAAGGAATCTGCTATCATTTTCTATTTTTTTTGGTAATATTTAGATTTGCTGATTTACAGAAAATCTGTTGGTTTTTTTTGAGACATGTTATGTGGTGGGAAAACTTTCAATTCGAAAGGTAACCAAGGAAATTCAGTTCTCAAAAGAATTACGTGTGCCAGAGGCCAAACCTTGGCAGGTAAATGCTGTGTGTATTGTGTCCCGAACCTATTACAGTTGAGTAACGGTGGTGCATGTTGTATTGATGTCCTGTATGTGATGTTAATAAAGCTGAGAGGGAAAAAAACACAAAGTCCTGACCGCAATTTATTGCAGCTGCTCAAGCCTCCAATTCCGTCGACCAATGTCAGGTTGGGCACAAAAGCCAATGAGCCTGTGTGGATTCCGAGCCAATGATCAGCCATTGCTTTTCATCATTGTGCAGGTGAAGGAGGGAACGGATGTGTTAACCAGAGCCCCGGCAATGACTTGCAACATTAAGGGCGAGAACCCATGAGCTGTAATGAGACATTTCAACGTGACGAGGCGCTATCAAAATACAAGTGTGTTGTTTTTAGAACAGAGGAATTTGGGTCAGTCACTGTGTGGCCTCCTGTGGAGAGGTTGGTAACCCGTGCTCAGGATTCCCATCAACCCACCCAACGCAACTAATCTGCAGCCGATGCATAGATACTAATAGTTGCTGTGGTGTATTTCGCTTCATTTGTTTTATTCATCGTTTCCTCCACAGTTTTCCTTCATTTTCTTTTGCTGTGTTTTTGTGGCCACGGATAGAAATTGCACCAAATAATGACATTAAATTCAAGGCATTTTATTAAAGCGGTGCATCAGTTTGTTTCTCTCTCTCTCGCAGGCGATACATGTTAATTGCAGTGTGATATGATAATTATCGCACTTGCAATTTGTACCCCCATTTCCCCTCTCCCCCCTCCAAAACGAAAGCAGCCCAGTTAGTCTTAGGAAGAGGCAATCGATCCTTACCTGACCTGTCTCATGTGAAGCTAACTGGATCTTAAACTTAAGTTACATGAGTGAGTGCATGGCTGATGACGTTTCCACTTGGATCAAAGTTTCTGATTAACTGATTGATTCAGTTAATTCAGTCATTCAGAACTCTGCAGCTCGTGTACTGTCCCGCACCAGGCTTCGGGACCACATCACTCCCACCCTCGCTCGCCTCCACTGGCTCCCCATCCCCCAGAGGATTGATTTCAAGATCCTCATCCTCACCTACAAGGCCATTCACGGCCTTGCTCCCTCCTACCTCTCCAACCTACTATCCCCCTACCTACCTGCCCATACCCTCCGTTCCTCTGGCTCCGGTCTGCTCCACGTCCCCCGCCCAACCGCCTACTATCGGTGGCCGGGCCTTCAGCCTCTCAGCCCCGAGGCTCTGGAACTCCATCCCCCAGTGCCTTCGCCGCCTCCTCCCTTTCCTCCTTCAAGGCCGGTCTCAAAACCTTTCTCTTTGACCGTGCCTTCAGCTCCCCTCTCGACTCTCTTCTTCCTCCTCCTCGCTCCCTCCCTTCCCTCCCCTCACCCTGACCATTTCCCCCCTCCTCTCTCCCTCCCTTCCCTCCCTCACCCTGACCATTTCCCCCTGCTCGGGTCATGAACCAACTGTGCAGCGCCTTGGGACGTCCTCCTGACGTGAAAGGCGCTCTATAAATGGAATCTTGTTGTTGTTGTTGTTGTTGATTGACAGATTGACTAATTGATTGACTGACCGATCAACTGGTTGATTGAATTGGCCTGAGGAACAAGTTAGGTGTTTTCGAATCTGCAGTTCATAAATAAATCTTGATCTAAGAGCAACTTTTTTTTTCAACGCATGCACACCAACCATTTACGAGCTTCAATTCCACAGCCGGAGGCAAACTGAGATCAATATGTTATTTATCAGCAATAGAGAGCAGCAGCAGCCAATACCGTTAATTATTTTATGACAGTGAGTGATATTTTCACTGCTCAGTGGAATGTTAATTCAAACGAACGGATGGGAAGTCAGAGAGATGTACCCAACTGTACAGTATACATTCCGCACCTTGTTCACAGAGACGCACGTTATATCTTTGTGATTCGGAACCTCTTGCCTCTGGGTCAGAAGGATGTGAGTTTAAGCCCGACATTGGAACCTTTTCAGCTCAGTCTAGGCTAATAAGTACTCTGGGACCCCACCCTGCTTGAGGGGCGCTATATAAATGCTTGTCGTCGTTGTTGTTGTTGTTCTGCTCCAGTGCAGTTCTGGAGGGAAAGCTCAATTGTCGAAGTTGCTATCCTTCAGACGCGACACTCAATCAAGGTCCTGTCTGTGCCTTGAGGTGGACGTTCAAGATCCCTCGACATTATTTCAAAGCAGGAGGGAGCTCCTCCGAATGCCCTGGATAATGTTTCCCTGGATGAATTCGTTGCTCGCTTCGCAGCTGTTTGTGGATCTTTGCTGTGTGCGTAAACGGCCACTGCATTTGCGAACAAATACAGTCACCACACGTGACAGCAGTTCCCTACGAAACGCTTTGAGACGTGTTGACGTCCTGGGCGCTGTATCAAGTGCAATGGTTCTTGTTCTCCCGCGCTGGTTTGATTCAGGCGCTTGCCTCTTCGCTCTTGCCAGGGGACCGTCATAACCCAGTTGCCACCTGCCGTTTTTATGAGTAATGGGTATTTTCCACGAGCGGACAGGCAGCGGGGACTATCTGTCACTGCCACAACAGCCTG